CTATTACAGCTCTTGGAAACACTGTTGATTATCTTACTACTCACATGGCTGCTATATCAGACTCCCAGTCTACTATCTCACAGGATATAGCAGATCTTCGTGCTCGCTCGAATAGTCAGGCTGACACTAATCAGGCCGTTCTTCAGTCTCTGGTTGATTTGCACTCAAAGATGGATGCACAGACGCAAATATCTAAGTTGTTCTTAGACAAGGAGCCTCAGGAAATCGCTATCCACTTGGGTACAAGTCAGTTCACAGAATCGGACAGGGTTATGTTAGCCGAAGTCAGTCGTCGTGTTGAGTCAGATTCTGGTCTTCTAGGCACTCTTCATCGCAGTGTGTCTCGTCTGCTACGGGGCCATAGGTGCTCCTCTTACTCCCCCTCTCATGCTACTACTTATGTGTCTTCCTCCATTGCCAATGTGGAGGGTCCCTCGGTTTTTTCCCGTGTGCCTTCCCCTGTTCCCACTGAGGGGGAGAAGAGAGTGGATCCTACTACTAGTGAAAACGGGGATGACTCAGTATCTACCTCTTCTTCCTCATCTGATGTTGACTCAGACTTTGATGCTCCTATTGGGGGGTTGTTTGATAATGAGAGAGTTGCAATACCTGTTGAGAGGGAGCAGCGGAAGCAGCCGAGCTCTTAAGCAAATGTTGAATAGACCGACTCTTCTAAATCTGCTTCTGGCTCTCAGTTTACCAAGAAGCAAGACTCTTTGATTCAGAAATTTTCAGAGGAAGGTAAGGCCCCTGATGTCTCACTTCTTGATCTTACCCTTCCTACAAATGACTATCATCCAGAAGGAACTATCTTGTTCATTCCTGAGCATGGAATATTCTTTTGGGACGCTAGTAGTTGTCTTCGATTTTATCGACTTTCTGAGATACCTATAGATGATTCTCAGCTACTTCGTGTGATACTCCGTATAATTAAAATTGGTGAAACCGGAAGAGTCTTTTATACGCTGATCTTGGATGAACTAAAGAAAAGAGATGCTCTTCAGTCGCTGATACAGATGTTATGGAAGTAGACGATGACTGCTAGCTTTTCTACATGACTTATTCTTCTTAAACTACTTTCTTCATTGTAAGTATTTAAATTCATCGTCTAGTTTAAATGCATTTTATATTTCAGTACTTACTTCAAAAAAAATTCATTTTTTATTTGTTTCTCTCTGATTTATTATTTGTTTTGTATATACGTTTACAGTTAAAAAATCAAAAAAAAAAAAAACCCAAAAAGAATATGTACATGGGTCACAAAATTTATAAGTTCTTCTTCTCAAAGAATTTTAGAGTTTGTGTATCTTGTATTTATTTCTTTCTAAGTGTTTGTGTCATCATCAAATAGGGGAAGATTGTTGCGTCACCTATTGATTTGGTGATGACCCACTGATATGTTCCTCTACTCTAGCAACACTTAGGTGGCGTTTGGTTCGCAAAATATTTTTGGATGGAATGGAATCTGTTAAAGAAATTTGATTTTGAAGGAATTGGAATGAAATGTTGTCAGGTTTGACCACATGTTTGGATGGCAGACATTGAAATGGAATCTGTTAAGGAATTGGAATCTGTCTGTTTGGTTCACAGAATGTAGCTTTAGAATTGGATTAAAATATTGGTAAATGACCAAAATGCCCTTTTTTGAAAATTTTAGTTTTTTTAAAACTAAAAATACTTTAAAAATTTATTATTTAATATGTAAAACAATATAAAATACACAACCCAAATGTAACCATAAGTCAAACGATGTTACTAAAATCGACGGTGGTTGGTGGTGGTTCAGATTAGTGGTGGTCCATAGTAGGGGTGAGCAGCGGAACCGGGTATCCGGCTATAGAATCGGAACCGCCTTGGAACCGCCGGTTCCAGAACCGGAACCTATATGAGTGGTTCCGATTCCTAAAATACGGAACCGATTGAGAATGGTTCCGGTTCCGATTCTCAATTTTTCGGAACCGTTACCCGCCGGGTACCCGGTATTTTTCAATAAAAAAATAATTATTATTTTTTAATACCAAATTTGTTTACATCTTAAAAGCACGTCGTCATCTTCAATCTTCATCTGAATTCTTCATATAAAATGATTCGTATTTTTTCAAATTGTGTGTTCACTTGGATTCATAGTATGTAATCGTTAAACTTTGAACATTTTCTAGTAGTCTATTATGGTTTGTAATCGTTAATCAATATTTGTAACCATTATTCTGTATAATTTGTATTCTTGCTTATTTATTTAGTGTTTTGGCAATGTTTTATTTTTTATTTCTAAATAACAAATTTTTAATATTTTAGGAAGCGGGTACCCGAAACCGGTTCCCRGCGGTTCCGGTTCCGGTTCCAAAAATTTAAGAACCGCTCTAACCGGTTCCGGTTCCTGTCAAAAAGGGCGGGTACCCGCCTATGCTCACCCCTAGTCCATAGTGGTTCAGATGGAGGTGGTCAGCGGTGGTTCAGATGGAGGTGGTCAGCGGTGGTTCAGATAGGCGGTGGCGGTGGCGGTGGTTGTTAAAATCGGTGGCGGTCGCCCGACGGTGATTCAGATCGATGATAGTCGTCGGTGGTTAGCAGTGATATAGATCGATGGTGGTCCGTTGTGGTTCAGGTGACGATGGTCGGATGTGGTTCAGATCGACGATGGATCAGATCGGTGATGGTCAATGGTGGTTTAGATTGGCGGTGCTTCAGATCGGTAGTAGTTGGCAATGGCTCAGATCGATGGTGGTCTGTGGTGGTTCAGATGGCGATGGTCGACAGTAGTTCAGATCGGTGGTAGTCCATGGTGGTTTAGATGGCGGTTATCGACGGTGGTTCAGATTGACGGTGAATCAAATCAATGGTGGCTCAGATCGACGGTGAATCAAATCAATGGTGGCTCAGATCGACGGTGTCGATGGTGGTTTAGATCGGTAGTGGTCAGCGGTGGTTTAGATCAGCAGGGTGGTTTAGATTGGTAATGGTTGGCGGTGGTTTAGATTGGTAATGGTCGGCGGTGGTTCAGATCGGTGATAGTCGGTGATGGCGGTCGACGGTGGTTCAGATCGGTGATAGTCGGCGGTGGTTCAGATCGGTGGTAGTCGGTGGTGGTTCAGATCGATGGTAGTCGGTGGCGGTGATTGGTGGTGGTGGTGGTTGGTGGTGGTTCACATCGGTGGTAGTCGTCGGTGGTGGTGGTCGAAGGTGGTTAAGATCGGTGGTAGTCGGTGGTGGCGGTCGGGGGTGGTTCAGATCGATAGTGGTCGGAGGTGGTCGACGATGTTCATATTGAGTTTTATGAGATTAGAGTATATTAGGTTAAGGGCATATTTTGTATAATGAAGATAGAGATTCCATTCCATCAAAATACCATGTAGTTGTTAAGGAATGTTAAATCCCTTTATTTGTGGAATTTGTATGATTTTGAAGATTCCTTTCGTGAAAAAGAATGAACCAGACACCACCTTAGTAGTTATTAGTTTCTTTGTATATTGGTATCTTGGTACTTACTTAAAGTCATTGGCAAAATCGAAGACTAGCCGATGTGAAGACAGGTCACCGATGCGGTACTGTGGATCAACTGTCTAATTTACATACCAAGACTCCAGAGTAGCTGAAATGAAGATTGAAAATATTTTGAAGCTACAAGCCGATTGAAGGAAGATCTTCATGGACTAATGATTGAAAATCTTCATAGACCCAAGATTGAAGATTTTCATGGACCCAAGATTGAAGATCTTCATGGACCAAAGATTGAAGAGATTCGTGGACCAAAGATTTGTGAGTAGTTGTTTGAAGCTACTAATCCATCCAAAAAAGATCTTCCTACAGACTGACCATATCTCTGCAAAAGTTTGGCTCTGCATGAACAGTTCTGTATGCACGCTGTGTACGATGAAAATGAGATATCGACAATGGTCAAATCAACCCCTTACTTCTTATCCTCATGTGACAAGTGTCCCCATGCATTTAATGTTGAAGGTAGTATAAAAGGCAATGTGCATCTCCCATGCACATAACTGACTTCCTTTGAAAGATTTCTAAGTGCATTATCAAGTCAATCGGCTCTCTTCTTCTACTCCCTCACTCTTCTATGTGTGAAGAAAAAACTTAGTGTTCTTCATTCCTTACAAGTACTCTCTGTGTTGTTCTTGTAACTTCTTCTCTTTGTAAGATTGTTTAGGTTAAGCTATCCTTTTCTTTCTTCTGCAACAATCTTTATTTTATCTCTATGTGTTAATTCTTAATATACATCAATAAGAATTAAAAAATTCAAAATGTCTGTGTAATTGTATTCAACCCCACTTCTAAAATTACTTTCTATTTATTGTCATCCCATTCGGGACCAACAGCTACTCCTAACTAGTTTTTCTATAAGTTAACTTATAAGCTAGCTTATCCAAACATGTATTTAAAAAATAAGTTAACTTATGTTTAGTAAACAATGCCAAAATTTGAAATCTAAGACCCGAACTTTGGGCAGTCTTGGATTTTAATCTGACTCGATTAAAGTTCAAGGATTGCATTTTAACCCAACCTCTCCCTTGCAAACCCTTATCTATGATTTTTTTTTTTTAATATAAAGTCTTCGTGCATCCAACCTTTAATGCCATTCTTTTTAAATGGGAAATACTTAAATGATTTTACTACAAACATTTCAATTTAGTTTGATTCAACATTTGAAACTACTAACCTAATCTAATCAAACCAATTAGATTGAATTTCTTAACCAATACTACCAAACCATGTTATCTAAAACCGAATCAAACCAAACGAGTCAAGTTGTTACTTAACCGTGCTAGCATTTTAATGAGCTCCATGTTTTTCCCAATTATGCCCTTTTATATTTTTCTGATTAATTTTTCAACATATCATTTTAGGTCATTTTACATTGTTATATCAGCTAGTTTTTACTAAACATGACTAGTTTATCAGTTAACAACTAGCTTATCGCCAACAGTTATTTGATATGTTATGGACTTGAACCGCGCACTAGGTTACTACAAGAAGACAGAGAGTGCTTATATTCAATTTGGAACTTTCATATAATATGGGGAAATATACATAACTTATCATTGTGTCTGTGTGTTTTCAGAATGATACAAAATGGAGTAAATGACCAAAATACCCTTGAGAAGTGAAGGAAAATACATACCAGGTGTTGAAACCTATGGGTATATCCAGGTGCAAAAAGGATTCCCAGTTATAAATGCAAAATTACATCCCAGAGGCATTACATTCTTCTAACAGCTTAAGAATGTTATGTTCAGGTGCACTGATCGATGGCAATATCATTCTGTTGGTTCTTCGTTGAGATTTGTTTCCAGGTGGCTCCGGTTCTGGTGGGGGGGCCGCTCCTTCGTCCACCGCGGACAAGTCAGCCCTCCTTTGCACGCCTGCAGATACCCGCTCTTTCCAAATGCGCCCATCCTTTCATGTCAAAAAAATGAGTGTTAGTGATGCAGAATCGACTGATGAATTCTTATATGTTGTGATGATAATAAGCAAATATTTAATTTTAACATAATCTCATTTCATAGGGCAGATGGAGTGTATATTACAAGATGGTGCTACCTATGTTGCATAGATGGTCTTTTTCTCAAAAGCTTTTGCAGACCAATGTGCTTATACATTATGATTGTAGTCGTCAATTCTTAATTTTATTGACAAATGCTATATGAATTTCATGGATTAAGAAAATTTGTATAACATTTTATATAACATGTAACCAAACCAACCACACTTGGTAAGTCCCGCTCGGAAGTAGGAGCTGGGGGTGGGATGAACGCAGACCGAACCTTTATCCCAAGACCCGATGCAATAGAGTGGTTGTTTCAATTAAGACTCCCCCACTTGTGAAAAAATACATCACATATGAAATATATAACACGAAATTAAGCAAATGGTGTATGATGCTAAATATACTTATTGCAACTTACAATGGAGAATTGGATTACTCTTCCTATTCCAAAATAAATGCAACAATTCCTTAATTGGTGAAATTACAGACTATAATTACATATTTACCCATTAGAAATCATCTCAAAATACTGATAGCATATATTGTGGTTCAAATGGTTCGCACTAGTGAAGGGTATTTCAGGTATTTGAATAACAATCAAAGAATTTCCTTGAACTATATGCATAATAAAACATTGCATTTATTTTGCAACGAAGGGGGAACCTTTTTTCAAATAGATATTAAACATGAAATATTGAATCTCAACAAAACGAAAAAAAAGTAATTTGAGTTGAAACTTACATTGAGAATCGAAGGTTCGGGCAATGGGCAATTAACCGGTTGATCATTGTCAAGAGGTTCAGTAGGGTGCTCAACAGGCTTAAACTCAATTGCTACCTCAATTCCATGATGAGTTGTAGTCGTGGCTCCAACAACTGTGGAGGATTCGGTAACTTCTGTATCCGGGGGTAACACTTCCCTCTCATCCTTAATGGCATTAAGTAGCCCAAAAAACAAGCATACATTTAAATAAACAACTTATATAAAAAGGAGCACACCAATAATCATGTTGCAAGAAAAACGAGAAGTATCATGACAATCATCAACATAAACCGCTTTAATCGTCTATGCTTACCATAAAACACTTTTATGGTATAAACGAAACTAACAAGCCCAGTATATCCCACCTAGAACTCTTGAAGTAGGGTCTAGAAGGTAAGATGTACACAAACATTTCTTCTGCAAAGTGCCGGAGAGGTTGTTTCCAAGAAGACCCCCAACTTGCGAAAAAAGATTTAGAAAGCATAGCTAAAAGCCATAGTTTTGCAACAACAAGAAAAATGATCAAAAACAATTCATTAATTTTTTTAAAGGCGGAATTAGCAAATATTGCGAAGAGCGTGAAAAGGTAGGTGCATTGCAAAAAATGCTTCAAATGAGACACGATGGTATGATGAAGCTACTTCATGGAGAACCAATAGTTGACTTAACTTCTAAATAAAAATAACTAGAGACATACAAAATCGAGAGTAATTTTGTGCAATAACCATCCGCATCCCCACTAAACTATAGCTAAACCAAACCAAACCAAACGAGCCCAATATATCCCACCCGGAGGTAAGGTCCGGGGGTGGGGGTGTACGCATAGCTGACTTCTACCCACAAAGAGTAGGATGGTTGCTTCCGTGAAGACCCCGGCTTATGAGAAATGTGCTAAAAAAATAGAAAGGAAGACGAAAGTTTTGTGCACCGCCTCCTTCTGAAAAGAGACTACTTTCATCACTTAGACCATTCTTAACATTAAAAGTTGAGTGAGTTAGTTTTCTAACTATTGTACTTGCAGTTCCATTCCAAATTAACCATGATACTTGCTAAAAACACAAAAAAATATTAAAAAAATACTAAACTATGCTGAAGTGAGTGATTCTAGACAAAGTTTGCACCATCTTTTGGCAGTTAGGTGCATTATGTGCCATTAGCTACGCAATTCTATTGCGGTGTCGCAAAATCCACAAGCCTAGATGGTCGATGTGTTTGGTACACTAAATGACAGAACAAAAACTTTATTATCCCATTTTTGGTGACATTAAACGGGGACATGACTAAGTGGGATAAAAATGCATTTCTTTTGTCCCATCAAAATAGGTGGAACAAGAATCAGTGAGAGGGACAAGATCAGTAGCTAAACCACCCATATCAAATTAAAACCCTAAAACCTTGCACGAATTTTGCAATGAAACCATGAAGAAGATTGCAATCGTTTCTAGTTCAGGATATCAGACCAAAATCACAATATCTCATTGTTCTTGGCAAATTCCAATAGCATGTTAGGCCATTGTTATTCTTGCAAATGCTTTGCTCCTTTTTATAAGATTCCTTTCTTTCATTTGAGAATGTCATTATAGAAATTTCCAAAAATCCAAACACTATATTAGTATTAGACTATTTATAGTATCATACCTGCAATTTTCATCAAGAACAAATGAACAAATATGGTAAATTCAAAATACCCAACCCTCAGAAATCAGACTGTTTGACAACCTAAATCTATAACCTACCAAATGAAAATCAATCGAATCTTCAAATTTAAATTCAATCACTCAAGTGAACAATCCGATACTACAATTTGAAATCAAGCAAACCAAAAAAACTTCCGTGGCAGAACAACAGAATCTAAGAAACTCAGATCAGGGAGCAAGTCAGCTAAGCAATCAATCGATTAATAAACCACAAGAAATGGAGAGATTAAACAGAGATAGATGTTTTTTTTTACTTACAATTGAAGTCTGGGATCGACGATGACCGTTTCTGCTTACAGAAAACCTTGAAAACAGACCCACCATGTTGCTCAGCTTCTTTAGGTTTAGTTTACAAAACAAAAAACTCGAAATCTGATCTGGGATTTTGTAATCTTGCCTCAGTCGAAAGGCCCAAAGTCGAAGGGGGGAAGATGGATGGATGGATAGAGAGAGAGAGCTCTCTTGAAAATGGTAGCTTGGCTTGGTGGTTTTTGTTTGATTCTCTTGTTACCGATTAAAAAAATAAATAACGCAATCTAGGACAAATTCATCTACTATATTTATAGTTACTTTTGTGGGTTCGATTCTCTCCTGTAAATATCACTTCTTTTTTAATAATTGTGTTGATAATTAAAGGGTTGTTTTGATTATACGTATTAAACAGTAACTAAAATAGTATTCGTGCAATACAGTGAGATACATCTTGATTTTAATATTTTATTTTATTTTTTATTTCAAATCGATGTTATAATATGGTCTTATATGATTTTGAGAAAATGATGGTGTTTTTAACTTTTGAATAAAATATAAGTTTGAAGATATCATAAAAATTTGACAAAAATATATTGATATTAGTATCACATTAACTATTTTAAATCCTCATTTTTTTGTAATTTTTTAATTCATTTTTTTTTTTAGGTACCGAGTTGTTTCTCTCTCGACGATGAAGCTTATCCCCCATCGTCACACTGGCCGACCTTGACCCCTCAATAACGAAGTAATTTATATTTGGTTTAATAATATAATTTTTTTATAAAGATAACAATTAATTATTTTGCTATAACTTGATAATTATCCTAATTATATTTTAGATTTTTTATATTTTAAAATGAGATATTTATTTTTTATTTAATTATATTTACTCGTAGTTAGTTACAATAATTCAAACATGTAGCTTTAATAAGTTATATTTATGCATAATTTACTTGTAATCTTGAATTTTAATAATATACATTAATATACAATACTTCATGTATAAAAAAAATTTAAGAATTTTTATCAAATACTTTATAATACAATATAGATATTTGTTTTCGTTTTCCAAAGATAGACATATTCTAGTGGGAGTGGGCCGTGGGGTTCTTGAAAGGGAATATATGCAAAGACTCCAAAATGGGCGGTTAAAAAGGACATTTCTCAACAAATCTAATACCCATCGCTTTTTTAAATATTGATAATATCATAATATTTTTTTTAAAATAGTACAAAATGTTAGGTTCACGTGAGACCAACTTATTTTTGTGTGACCAGAAAATAACACTTAAAATTTTACAACAAAATATTGTGAAAGTAAAAAAAACTTTGATCACAACAAAAACACTGTGAAAGCTACCTTTCACGGTGTTTCATTGCAAAAGTTTAGTGTTATTTATGTGGTCTCACGAAAACAGGTTGATGTTAATAATCCCAAGTCTATATACAAAAAACAATTTTGTGAACTTATTGACTTATTCCGGTGTGATACCGGTAACAAACATTTTTGAGTGTTTGGATAAACAGCTTATACCGATGTCAAGCCGGTAATAAGAAGTTTTTGAAGAAGTTAGATCATTCTAACTTATAATAAGTTGATAAAGACTTTTGTAAAAAATAATAAGTTGTTTCAAATAAGCAACCCCAAACACCCCCTAAAACCATTTACCTCATGTTATGAAAATCTCTTTAAAAATAAATTTTCCAAGTTATTATACATGTACAGGTTTTTAAAGCTCCGTTTGGACTCTATAAATCTGGCAAATAACCTACCAATTGTTTTAGTATAAGATAAACATTTGGACAATGCTAATACGACACGATACTGCATAAAATTGATAACCAACTAAATAGGCGAGTAAAAAGTAGACATATATGCATGCTCCTTATATGGGTTAGATGCGTTTGATACATGACTTTCTTGCTTGTCTTACCTACGTGTTTAATTTGTTATGTAGATTCGTCTTATTACTTACTTTTCATGTTTACATTGATTACGATGTTTGCTTGTACACCATTGAATTGTTGTTTTACGTGTTATATTTCTAAATTATCTGTTATCTTACGTATCTTATTGCTTTTTTGCATACACCTTGGTTTTGTACACTAATCGGTGGTCTTCACGGAAACAACCTCTTAATCCTAGTGGTTGAGGTAACGCATGAGCACATCCCACCCCTCAGATAACCTACTTTTCGAGTGGGATATGTTGGGTTTGTTTTCTTTTCTTTTTGGAAGTATAAATAAGAAAAATGCAACAAATAAACCTACACATCCTCCTCATGTTTGGTGAAGTTTAAACCCCTTATCTCCCAGGAGGCCAAAGGCCCTGATGCCGTTAGGCCAAAGACCCTTTTGGTTATGTTGGGTTTGTTTTGGTTTAGGTAAACGACGAAATTGTACCTTACACGACGTAACATCATCTTTTTCCTGTCGAGGCATTACGTCATTCTCAATATCAAACTCCCGACATTTGTGAATAATGCCTTTAAGTAAATAGAATCCAAACCCTTAGTTCGTCATATACTAAGCTAAGTTTTTAAATTAAGATAAATATAGATGTGCATACATTTATACCCGCTTTTAGCACATTTTAGGATCTTATTCCACTTTATTTTCATTCTCTCTGTCACAAGTTGATTCTTTTATTCTTATTTTGCATACATTTAAGTCTGGAAGCTTGGTTACGAAGTTTGGTCTTGATTTTGTGAAATTTGGAGAATTTTGCTAACTGCAAGCTTGCTGCAGCAACAATGACCAACCTTGTTGAAGAAATTAGTTGATTTTAAGCATTGGTTGGGAAGACTTAGGTGTCGTTTACGAAACGTTTACCCGGGTAAGCGCTTACCAAGTCACATTACTTTACCGGATGAATATGACAAGAACTACGAAGCTTACCTGGTAAGAGCGAATGCAAGAATCGAGAGTCTTACCCTGTAAGTGAGGGAGACGACTCTTACCATGGTTAGCGGTTACCAGGATAAATTGTTGCATACAATGCGTTTTGGTGAATAAAATCTTACTCGGTAAGTAAATGATAATGTTGAATTTTACCGATAAGTGCTTACCGAGTAAGTTTTTAGGTAAACGACCCCTTAATGATCTAGCTGGAAAAGGAATCTCCTGGCAATTTGATGAAGGAAGTTTCTATGCCAAAATCAACTCTGCTATTCACTTCTTGTTGTTAAGTTTCATCCAAGTACTTCTTAACAAATCGACACATGTTGTTTCACTTGGATGATTTGAACTTAAATGTAAGTCAATGTAAAATTTAGATTCTTGAGTGTTATAGATGGCTAGAAAGAGATGTGTCAACATTTATGGCTTGTAAACTATATGGCAAGAACTGTACGGTTTGTACCATTATCAGATTTGTGTTCTTTTGAACACTGCTAGCAAAGTGTCCATCCTAAACCTTGAAAGAGGGTTGTTCAAAATAACAATGGTCATCAAGAACTACTGTTGTAGCAACTGACATCCACAATAACCAAAATTATAATTTGTTCAAAACAAAGATAGGAGTTGACAATGAGAATCAACCACATATATACTATATTATAAAACATTTTACAAAAACTTTTAAAAATCATTTTTTATACATGAAGTATTGTATATTGATACATATTACTTAAAATTCAAGATTACAAGTAAACTATGCATACATACAACTTATTAAAGCTCTATGTTTGAATTCGTGTAATTAACTGTGGATAAACATAATCAAATAGAGGATAAACATCTTATTTTAAAATATAAAATATCTAAAATATAATTAGAATAATTATCGAGTTTTAACAAAATAATTAGTTATTATCTTTATAAGAAAATCATATTATTAAACCAAATATAAATTACTTCGTTATTGAACCTAAATTAAATTTTAATAAAAATTATATAAAAAATAAAGAATTTTAAATAGTTAATTTGATACTAATATCAATAAATTTTGTCAACTTTTTATGATATCTTCAAATTTATATTTTATTAAAAAATAAAACATCAACGTTTTTTCAAAATCACATAAGACCATATTATAACATTGACTGAAATAAAAAATAAAATAAAATATTAAAGATGTAACTCGATGTATCATGCGAGTACCCTTTTAATCAATCAAAAATGTAATTTACATTTATTTTACTCCTATTTTAATATCTTAAATCGAACTAAAAACCGGACAAAGTTATGGAAGGACCCGGATGGTTTAATGTTTGGAACCGGGCCGGGCAGCAATCTGGTGGGCCATGTGTGGCAACTCTACGATACGATTGAACCAAAAAAGTAGGTCTTCAATTTATGGTCAATTCATTTCCCCCCCAAAAGCTCCCCAATTACTCGAGTACGAGAGTGTAGTCTCGAATTCGAATCAATCTCTCCCACCACTAACAATGGCGGATGATCAAGATTTTGAAATGTGGGATGATGAATTCTTGGAAAAAGCTATCCAACTAACCGAAGCTGCCGTTTGTTCCTCCTCTTCAAACCCTACTCAACCGCCACCACCACCGCAACAACTATTCCCTCCGCCTCCGCCACCCCATTCTGCTCCTCACATCAGTTATTCTCCTCCTAGAGAGTTGTCTCAGAGAGTGAAAGACGACAATCATAGAAACTTTCCCGATAAGGGTTTTGATTTCCCGGTCTCGTTGAATGGAATCAATCAGGGTCTCAATAGCATGCCTCCGATTCTTTATTCTTCTCGATTGCATGACGAGAATAAATGTTCGAAACAGAAAGAAATCATTCGATTGAAGGTTTAAACCACACACACATACTTGATTGTTTCTATTATGTAGCTCTGTTTTAAGTGGAAGAAAAATTTGCACCGTTGTAGAGTTGTATTTGGGTAATGGTGGAGCATTTGTTAATGAGGTTGATTGTGGAGTTTTCATAACCCACTGTGGATGGAGATACGATTACCATTTTTAAGTCCTTATTAGCTGTTATTTTTGCAGGAAGAGCTGGGAAGAGTGTCAAAGGTGCTTACTAACCTGGTATGTTCCATCATAATCATATACATAAATCTGTATTCATACTGCTCTTAGTGGAAGTTCATTTTACCAAAGGCTAGTTAAAAACACTTTCCAACATGTAGAATTTGAAATCATATGGGAACAATTTAAATTTGAAAACCGCTGGTATGTTCTGTTGAGGAGCATGGTCTAGTTCGGATGAATGAAACAGGATATGAGAAGCTTCTAGAACTGTGAGAATGATAAATTAATTGTATTGTTCATATTATATATGTGTTTAAACTATCTCTATGATTCATGATCTATATAAATAATCCATATAGGGTATTGTTAACGGGAACACTGTTATGATTTAATTGTATAGTAGTGACCATTATCTGTAATGCTATTTAGTTTTCTACAAAAGTCTTGTGATTATTTACTTCTCTAAAATGTCTGTTTCAACCTTATTCTTTATACGACTTTGTCCATTGCAAGTTTGCAACTGATGCTACGAAAGTTTTGGTTTATTAACAGCTTATGTTTATCCAATGCTACTTTCTGAGATCACTTTCCATGGCACATATCTTATAATTTTTCTATCCAAATGGAGTTTGTAAGTAATAATTGTTAATTCACGTGCAGGAACAAGAGTGTTTGGAGCTTAGGAAGGAGAGAGATAAGAACGAGATACATCTTAGATCAGTACCTGCAAATGGATCTAAAGATGCTGAAGCTTTCTGTTCAAAGAAATCAAACTTGTGAGCAATATATTCCTTCAATTGTGTTATAAGTGTCCTCAAAATTAAACCGTTAGTTCTTCTTGGTGGTCTTTGTGAAACATGCAGGCTAGTTAGACCATACATTGTTGTATGTATGTTTTTATGTATAGCTGTTCAAATGCTGTTATGCTTTAGTCCATCTATCCCCTAAGGCTGCTTTTGGTACATGGGATGGGACAGGACAGGATTGGACAAAACTCAGTGTCCCACGTTTGGCGCAACATGGGACAGAACAAGGAAACACTGTCCCACGTTTGGCGCGACATGGGACAGGGACAAGAACCGGGACAAGGTGGGATAGCATGGGACAAAAGAGGCTTTTTCTTGTTCCACCAAAATAGGTGGAACAAGATGGGGCAAGAACGAGACAAAAATTAAAACATTACTAATCTACCCTAGCTTGATATATAACCTTAATATGGTGTTTGTTTTAATGGTTATCATCGCTAGTTTCGACCGCCACCACTATCATCGGCGGTCACCGGCGGCCACCTCTACCTCCTCTTCTACTACAACAACATTCTCCATAATCTCCACAACCACCGTCCACCAAGTCCATCGCCACCTCTACCATAGTCGACCACCGACCACCACCGTCCATTGCCACTACCACTACCACTACCGTCATTCGCCACCTCTAACTCCTCTACTACAACCACCTCCTTCACCACCGTCCATTGCCACCACCACTACTGCCGTTCGCCACCTCTAACTCCTCCTCTACTACAACAACCTTCTTCACCACCGTCCATTGCCACCTTTACAACCACCATCAACCACTAACCACCACCACCCATTACCACCACCACTACCACCGTTGGCCACCTCCAAGTCTTTACCGCAACAACCTCCTCCACAACCACCGTCGACCACTGACCACCACTGTCCATTGCCACCTCTACAACCACCATCAGCCATCGACCACCACCCCCATCGGCCATTGACCACCACCGTTCATTGCCACCACCACTACCACCGTTGGCCACCTCCAACTCCTCCTCTGCAACAACCTCCTCTGCGACCTCCACAATCATCATCGGCCACCACTATTGATTGCCACCTCACCTCCACCATAACCACCATCACCACCACTATCTTCACTACATCAGCCACAACCACCTCCTCCATCGTTGTCAACCGCCAGCGCCACCACAACCACAATCCACCATCTTCATGTCCTCTATAACCATCATCGTCCACCAACCACCCGGCCAATACCTCCATAACCACCCGGCCACCGACCACCACCTCCCATTGTCACTACTACCGTCAGCATGGAAAAAGGGGCTATGCATTTATATCGTAGAGACTTTTCCGTATGACTGTTCATTCCCTAATTTCTTTCGAGACATTTTGTTATTAGGTGTTTGGTCCTATTGTGTTTGTGGTTATTCTAGCCCTTGAGGCAATTTTTATAATATTTATTTCTATTTCTTAGCTTTTGTAGAACTTCAATCACTTGGTTACTAGAAGTTGTGAAGAGACCTCATTTACATGAAAAAACCAAATGTACTTTTTTCTGAATAACACAAAGTGTACTTCTACGTATCTGAATTGCTGAATATGTTGGAAGAGAATTAAAACATGATGCTTTTCTAAATGATGTGAGAGTTGAAGGCGTACGTCTTTGTTTGCCTAGAGGTTTAAGCCTCAAGGTACCAAGGGAAAACGCCTCGCCTTGTGTTTTCGTTTTTCAAAACCTTGGTGACATCCCTGAACACGTCTTAAGCAATCCAGGCACTCTTTTATATGTTAGAGGTTATAGTGAAAAATATGAGGCATCTAAGTAGTACAAGTATAGAGATTTATGATCTAAAGATTTGGTGCTGTGTGTTCTATTTCATATATGTAGAAGAAGAATTTGACCCTTTTCTATTTACAAAATAGAGGAAGCAGAAAGTTTCTGAATGGTGATACATTTGATTTGGATTTGTCTAACATCATTTTATCTGTACCCTGTAGATTTGAAAATGATCGAGCTTTAGGCAAAAAGGATAATGCTGTCTTTTTACACTTTCAACACTTCGAATTGGACAACTGTTTGTTTTTGAGGGATTTCTTGTGTAAATGGCATTCCACATTTTTTTCCAATATTTACTCTAGTTGGTATGGCAGGAAAAATAAAGATCCTATTGAAGGCCATTCTGTCATTCAACCAGTAACTAAAGGTACTGAGATCAAGTAATTATTTAGCTTTATGAAATAATTGTATCAGAGGGTTTGTTGGAGATGCACTTATAAAGTTGTAATTTATAGAATTTGTATGTGGTTTGAGTTTCTGTTTCTGATTGTCTTATCATTACTTTTTTGGGTCTTACTTTGATTTGTCTTCGCTTTTGAGTAGGTACAATCCCCTGCAAGGCGGTGGGGGTTCAGACTGATGAACTTGCCATATCAACTGACTTGACAATAAAGAAGAATCAATCAGTCACTTGCCCTTCAAGAAAGCTGGCAGGCATTTGGGAACCACAAAGTGACCGACAACCTAAAACTAATCTCGTTTTCAAGTTGTTTGTGGCTTGTGAAGCAGATTTACAGGCCCTATTTGGATGCGTAGGTTTGAACATGCCATCTAAAAAGACCACAACTAAAATGGACTGTTCGAAGCCTATTTTTTCGCACATGGCTCCAAACCACTGCTTTGAGGCTGCTGAAGCTGCAAAAGTATCTCATCTTTACTATATGCTAACAAAGGTATTAAGATGCATCTTATCATTCTCTTGTGGTTAGAGATTGTATTTGGCTGGATGGGTATAGTATAGTCCACATGTTTATTATGCCTTCATGAGTTTTATGGTATTCTTTTAAGTTATCAAAATCTATTTCGTGTCACCCGAAAGAATGTGTATCTTTATTAGCATTCATAATGTTTTTTCTTTGCTTATTTTATATGTATTTTTGGAACACTTACACAGAATTATTATTTTTTATTCCATGTGCTTATATACGTTTGTCGTCGCTCTTTACCTTAACTGCTATTGATGTGAGGCTTCTGAATTTTTTTTCCCTGCTGCTCTTTGCTCTAACTGCTAGGTCAATTTCTTGCTGCCAATTACTGTGCCTTTGCTTGCTATTTAGATCAATTGCTTGGCTAACAGCTCTCTATTTTTTTGTGGTGGATGTTGCTTAATGATATGTCATGTTAGTCCTTGCTGCATTGATGTTACTTAATTGTATTTGCTTACAAGATCTGTCATTTTCTTTAATATTTTTTTAGTGACATATGAGCATGTTAATCGTCATTGCCATGAAACGTCCAAACGATAAATATGTATCTTTGCTGATTACCCCTTACAATTGTTGGTGATGCAGATTAGTATTGACATAGGAAGATTGGAGGATTTGTTAGAAGCATTGCTTGATCTCATCTGTCTTCAAAATGTGAGTCTATTATTTTACGAATCCTGATACACCTGAATATCAATAGTCTGACAAATTTCACAGCTTGTGTTTATGAGTCTAACTTTTTTGTTAGTGTACCAATACATTTTTTTTCTGGATTGCATATAAAGCAAGTGTAGTAGAAAGGGAGAACCTGATTATATGTTTGCATAAAATATTATGCTATAACTAACTGATTTTTTCAAAATTTATGTTATATTGTACTTTGACCATTTAGAGTTTTTATGTGTTTGGTAGAACAGTCATTATAAGGAAACTGGGAATTGTTGTTTAGGAGCTATTAGAATGTAGGTGTTTTAGGTCTTGACTTATTCGGCCTAGACTTCTTTTTGTTATTTGATTTTAATATTTGACTGAGAAAGCTAGAAGATTGGATGAGTTAGTCTAGGAATACTTCTGATAATATGTTCTAAGAATTCTTGGTTAGGGTGATTTAAGTGGCCACCTAGGCTTAATGCATCCCCATTGTTATGTGAAATTGGCTGTCTAGCAGTTAAGTTTCACCACTGTTTGAAAAAAATAGGCAGGGACGGACACTCTTTTTTCAACTTGTGTCTATCAATTGGCGTTTCTCAACTTGGAGAATTATTTCCTGGGCTTTGCAGGTAATTATAATCAACAGAACAATGGAACTAGTTACCTAGAACTGCAATTCTATCAAGAAACTATATTCATATTAGAAATTCTGTTCTCATATGTTTTAACGATCAAAAGGGAACTCTGTTATATATATATATATATAAATAGACTTAGATGTCTGCTTAAACATATGCTTAGGCGATTCAATGCTAGAAGTTTGTCCGTGAAACAAGGGTTATGAAAGCAAATGTAGCAATTGAATGCTAGAAGTTTTTGTGTAGTTTGCTTTATGCTTTTTAGAGTACTGATTTTAACTAACAGGTTCATTGGTTGGATTGCTTTGATAGTGTCCTATATCACAACTTACAAGTTCTCAGGCTCATGCCTGAGGCCCTAATGAAATTGAACCTCAGAAGCTTTATTTTCTTCTATGACCCTTTTTTACAAATCAATATTGTTAATAGAGTTTGATATCTCTTCTTTATCAGATGCTGTTTTTAAACATAAATATTATCTCCAATATCATCAAGAATCAAGATTTCAGTACCGTTTTTTATTTTTCTTGGTTTTATGTTGCTTAAAAACTCAAATTTTGTCAACAGAAGATGATTGTTCACAGATCACTCCGGGTGCTGCATGTGGTCTTGAAACACATTTCGAGTATGGAAAGCAAATTGTGCAGCAGGTATGTGTTCAATTGAAACTTGTTCTCTTGTATACATTGATATATCAAGGATGCATTATTACTGGTTTGACAGCTTGTTGCCTATGGTAAAGTGAAATAGAATGTGCACCATATGATACAAAGCTTCTTTGTTTGATGCTAACATAATCATTTTATCAACCTCTTGTTAAGTTTGCTTATTTTATACTCCCTTGTTCTGGAAATAAATGTCCATAATGAAAAAAGGCACACAATTTTAGATGTGGGTAATTATTACACTTTTTAATTAACTAAGTGACAGTTTTACCCTTAATAATAGAGAGAGTAATGATTTTCGCCATCTCATTATCAAGGGTAGAAGTGGAAAGTCGGGATTTTTACTTTTGAAAGTGGAAAATTATTTTGAGACAAACTAAAATAGAAATCTAGAGACTTATCTTGGGACGGAGGGAGTATTACCTCCGTTCCAAGAAAAATGCAACTTTTTTATTTTGAGTTTCCACCAAAAATGTAACATTTCTTTTTCTGGCAAGTTATTAACTTAAATTTTCCTTTTCTATCAGTAATAATCATTACTTGATATCTGTAATTTGTCTGCAAGTAAGTGTTCCTGTTTACTGATTGTAGCTTGTTTTTTAGCTCTCTGCCCATCGCACTGTTAAGATTCTATATATCGTTTTCGTTCTTTGTTATGGGCCATGATGCTCTTCGCCTTATGAACTTTGATTTGATCTCTCCAGTGTACTGTGCTCAGGGACAATGTCATTGTTAATGACTCTTCCACTGTGAATAGAAGTTCGGGAAAACATTCTGAAATGGCACATCAATTGTGTGGGAATATCACTGAGGTATCTAATCAACACCATCCAGTTCTCTCAAGGCTGACAACTGCTAATAAAGTTTGGAACAAGGACAGCTTGAGGGATGATTCCTCACTGTTGATTCCTTGTTCAAAATGGTTTTGTCTTTATCAAATGATGCAACAAATTGTCACAAGACATAGTGAAGAAATTATAAGAGTGGAGGCAGTTTCGATTATGAATATTCTTCTTTTAAGAACTGATGCTTATGCGGAAAGGGAGATGTAAGTATTATTGTCAATTGCAGTTTGGTATCTCATACTTTTTACATACCCTTCCTCAATTTTTCTGTGCAAATCCTGTCAAGGTAGGTACGGAGAGGTGCTGGTTTTTCAAAGTATCTCTCAGCTATTAAGAAAAGAAGCTGGGCTTGGTGTACAAAAGCAAACTGTTCGTCTTCTCTACCTCCTGTTAAATTGTAATTTTTCATCTTCATCTAATTATAATCTTAATTTGTTTTTTTTCCTTGGTGTGACCTAACTTTTACTAATTTCAGTCATTTTGTTAGGAAGTTGCTTTCGAGCATAAACATCAAGTATTTGGGATGCACCATCTTTGTAATTGTGGCCTTGATCTTTGATTTTTTAAATTACATATTATATACTACAAAAAGTTTTGGTGCAAAAATTGTAAAAATATTTGTACTGGATTTGAATTATAGATTAAATACTGGATTCTACCCTCAAAGGTTATTTTTGGAGTGAGGTTGTCTGGGAATCGGTTTCTTTAAATGGTGGATTAGTTGTTATGATTTATATTTGTTTTTGTAGGATATCCCATTGTTTTCTTATGTTTAGTTGTGATGTGAAGATGTTCACTAAAGACAAGATTTGACTATAAAACCTGCATATTCCAATTTATCTTTAACGATATCTTCTACTTATTAGAAGTCTAGTTTATATACAGATGTTGTTGCATGTGATTTTTTTGGTTTGCCTGTGATCAATTAAACTTAAAAAGTCTTTCACACCCACCCACCCACCCACCCATCCTGATGCTTTTAATCGGTCATTGGAATGTGTAGTGAACCAGAATTCTATACAGTTAATCAGTCATTCAGCCCAAAAACATTATTTTATTTTAATTTTTGCCATCTCTTTATAGCCATCTATTTAAAGAATTTATGATGCATCTGTTACAATATAACATTAGAAGGAACCCAACTTAATTTGTCAAAATCAAATCTTCTAACTGCTGCAATGTGGATGCTTTAATTTGTCAAAATCAAATCCTGATGCTTTTAATTGGTCATTGGAATGTGGATGCTTTAATTGCCTATTCTTGGGTTAAACACTTGTGCATGTAAAGTAGATATCAAAATTTGTTTTTACCTTACTCTTTTTTTACCTTCATTATATATTTACCAGCAATTGATATTTTTTGCTTGTAAAGGTCCAAAGTTAATGTCGATCTTCTGCTCCTCTTGTAAAGAAGTGGGGACAACTGCTGAAGTTCTAACCACAAATTCTGAAACTGTGCCTGCATTTCACAGCTCAAGTGCTATACTAGATGGTTTAGCTGATTGTTTAGCTTGTCGTAGAAATGGTGCGCCGACCTTGGTATGTGCAACCTGTGTTTATCCTTTATTTTATGTACTCTCTGGTTTGTGGCTTTTTGTGCACAGTGCACACACAATGTATGAGGAGGATCATGGGATAAGTCGGTCAACTTGAAAGAAGTGCGAGAATGGCCAGATCACATGTGATTCTAGAGTAAAATCACATGTGATTCTAGAGTAAAATCACATGTGATACAACATGGCCAAAAGGATGCGGGCGACTTTGTCAACGTGACCAAGGTCATGTGAGAACTCTCCCATGCAATGGCTGGTCAGTGCCACGTGTTTGTATCACATGTGATTTCTTCTCGCAAGTTGACCGCCTTCTTGTTTGAACTTGCTTCTTTCTCTCTCTCTCTCTCAAAAATATATATATGAACAGTAATCGTGGGTGTTTGTGTTAGCTTGAGCGCATCTCGACTAATCCCATGGGGCCCTGAAGATGACAGCGAGGAAAGTCCTCAGTGGCCCTAAGTAGACTCAAACTGTGTCCTTTTTCATTTTTCAGAGCAAGTTCTCTCTAACTTACAATAAACGGGAAATTTAGTTGAGATCGCTACCATAGAGTAGACCCTTTAGCACTCCATGGTTATCATTAGTCCTTCCTGAAGTGCTTCTGGTTGAATGTTTGCATAACATTTTAAATAGTTTTCGACAGCCTCGGCTAGTTGATTTCTTTTTTAAAAATGGTCATAATTTAGTATGGTTGTCTGATTGTCTCATATGATCATATCCAATTCTTGAAGTCTTCTCTCAGTAGTCTAGCTTCAAAATTTATGTACATTAGAGGAGTTGATACTAAATTTCTTTGATCTCAAGTGCTTCAACTTGAAGGAATGTATTTTCTGAAAGCTGCAGTTTATTTACATTCAGGTCTTGAAACTTCAACGGAATACCATCATTCTGCTGGCTTTCTTAGCATCATTAGGGAGACGTGGCTTTGAAATTTTGTTGGGATATAATCTTCCGAGAAGGACCAATTTTCTTTATTTGATTCTGCAAATTTTGGCATCTGAAATTGATGTGGAGGCATCCGATCGTATTCAACCTTTTGATAATTTCAGAGAAAGGTAATCTAGTATCCGTCAGCTTCTTTTGCATTATAGTCATATAATGCAACTTTACCAAATGCTATCAACGTTCATTCATGATCTCTAGAAATCCATTTTTCATATTCGAGTTTGTTCTTTTTGTGCAGAAAGTTGGTAATCCGTGAGGCACTTATCCTTCTAAATAGACTTGTATCAAACTCTCAATACTCAACAGCAGTTTTATGTGTTCTTACAAATAGAAGAGACATGGCGTGCTTGACCATGGACATTGCTAGTAGGCTATCGCAGAAAGGCAAAGGGTTGTGGCAGCCCGACACCATGAGGGAATCGGAGATTGTGGATTTGGCCCGGATTTTCAAAAAGAGAGTGTTTGCTTTCGTAGAAGATGCACATCGGGAAAAAGAAGTTGAAAACGTAAATGTGAAGGAAGCAACTTCAGAACCTGCGCGGAAGGTCCTCTGTGTTAGGAAATGATTTTCGTAACTAGCTAAGAGAAAGAGCATTCACAATGGAGCTTTTTGGACATCTAAGCTTCGGACGAAAAACACATCCTTTTGTTTGTGCAGTTATAAGTTGTTTTTTGTGGGTCCCACTTTAATTTTAGAAAAAGCTTCGACGAAAAAGCCCAGATTTTGTAAGCTTGTCTCCTTTAGTTTGTGTATTTGGGGTTAGGTTTTTGAGTAAATGTACCACTGTTGTAACCCTTATTATCTCTTTTTTTTGTATCTAGAAAGAAGGCATTGTACATATAAGTGAAAGGTTGCAATTTGAGTAACATTGCTTCTTTATGACCAAATGGTTGCAGTTCAAGAATGGGTTCTCTTCTTGATTAACCTGGATATCCAACCCGTTATGCGAGCCGACTAATTCCAGACGATCACCTGCTTTAAGGGTAGTCCGGAGTCACCGTATTTGAACATTTGTGGCAAAATGAGGATTTTTATTTCTCCTTGGATTTGAACTTGAGACTTTCAGACACTTTTGACCTTTGGAGCCCAAGCTCAAACCAATCAGGCACCACCCTTGTGAAAGGTTGCAGTTCAAGTATGGGTTATCTTTTATGAGTAAAAAGATGTAGTTTCATAGACTGTTGTTTAAAAGATGTTGAAGTTTGAAATTTGATTTCAATTTTGAATGATAAGAGGTGGTGTTAAAGTTCAAAAGTAGAATCTATTTGTTTTTGTAGATTACTTATCGTTTGAATGTGTAGAGTTCTTTTATTTATTTAAGATAATCAATGAAAATGTAACATCCCAGTTCACATTTGCATATAGCTCACATATTTCATATAACATGAAATTCAAATAATTATACACTGGTCCCAAATGTACAAATTGCTACATACAAAAGTAACTACAAATTTGTTCTATATACATTAAGTACAAGACTTAAAAACATAACAATTTTTCAAGTACATATACAATAACAACTTCTAAAATTCACATATGTAATGCAATCATAATTTCTTCATATTTTTCCTTTTCCTTTATCTTCCAAATGTGTCCGACCTGTAATACACATTTTAAAACATAAAGTCAGAGTTAGATCATAAGATCTAGTAAGAAATTTTTTTTGAATGCTATTACATGATGAAAATCACCAAAATATTTTTATAAAACTCATATTTGTATTAATAGTAAATAAACAGTGTTTTATTAAAACAAACATTTTTGTTGCATCATATAGATGAGACAATTTCATCTTATCTCATCATAACTCATTGAAGTCTCAAACTTATCACATTAAATAAATAAATAATCAAGGTGTCACATTCCATATGTAATACACCAACTTATCGCATCACACTAATGCGATGACACATTTTTGTCACACCTCAAGGATGCGATAATATTTTCTCGCATCTCATGGATGCAATAACCTAATCATGTAGCATCACAAGGATGCAATAACCACCATTTGTCACATCTAAAAGATACGATCACCCAAACTTATAACATCTAATAGATGCGATAAATACACTTGTCACACCATATAGATGCAACAATCATAACTCATTGCATCAAGCATATGCAATAACTTCCCTTCGTCACATCACACTGATACGATATCCACAACTCATTGCATCATATTGATGTGATAAAAATCACATTTATTGCATCAAAAATGATGTGATAACAAAATCCCATGATCAATATATCATCATTCCCAGAATTTGATTATGACACTCTTATCTCGATATACCCAGCTCCTGATTATGTCACCCTTATTACAAATATATTCTCAACTCCTGATTATGACACCCTTATTACCAAAAGTATTCATTTCCTGATTATGCCACCTTTATTATAATCTGATGGTAAAATTGTATCAAAACCCAAAATTGATGCTAATAAATGGCATATAATCATCAAATACTCACGTATGAAACCTTATGGTTTCTTCACCCAAAAGCACATTAAATGATGTTTCAAAGTAAAACTCACCTTGTAAAACACTGTATATTGCAAGGAAAAACAACCACGGAAATAGATATGAACACTTAATCAGTTCTTCTTCTTCCTTTCTGCTTGCTCGAACCGGAGAGTAAAGCCACACTTTTTCTTTTCTCTTTTTAAGTACCCCCAAAAAGAAAATATCATGCCCAACACACACGCACACACACATCTATACTATATTATAAAGCATTTGACACAAACTCTTAAAAATCATTTTTTAAGCATGAAGTACTGTTTATTGATGCATATTACTTAAAACTCAAGATTAGAAGTAAATTATGCGTAAGTACAACTTATTAAAACTTAATGTTTGAATTCGTGTAACCAACTACAGATAAACATGATCAAATAGAGGATAAATATTTCATTTTAAATATAAATAATCTAAAATATAATTAGGATAATCATTGAGTTCTAACAAACTATTTAATTATATCTTTATAAAAGATTATGTTATTAAACCAAAAATAAAAGAATGAACTAAAAAATCACAAAAAAAAGAGAAATTTTAAATAGTTAGTTTGATACTAATATCAATAACTTTTTTTCATTTTTTTATGATATACATTCGTATTTATATTTTATTCAAAAATAAAAATATTATCAATTTCTCAAAACCACATAAAACTGCATTATAACATCAACTGAGACAAAGAAAAAAATGAAACATTAAAATCAAGATGTATCTCGCTGCATTACGCGAGTACCCCTAGTTTCTTTAAATGAGGCGGTGGCGACTTGAGATATTTAAAACAACTTTTCAAAACAACCTCTCAACTATTTGTCATTATTCAAAAACAACCCCAAACTTTTATAATCAATAACCCGGTTACAACATAAAATGATTTAGTTAACTTAATTAAAAGAAAAGCCTAATAAATAGATAATATATATAACGGTGAAAGCCTTTTACGCATTAGGAATGTAAGACGTTTAATATTAGGTACGTAAAACGTTTAGGTAAAAACCTTAAAAGTTTTCAGTTTTTATCATAGAAATAAACAATTATTGTCTCGCTCTTACCGGGTAAGATTATTGGTATTTACCATATTCATCCGGTAAGGGAATGTGACTTGGTGTTTACTTACCCGAGTAAGTGTTTTGTAAACGGCCTCTTAGTTTAGTAATTTATTTATCTTTTTAAAATTTTTGTTCCGTCTATTTTGGACGGACCAAAAAGTTCATTTTTGTCATATTCAATTTGGTTCCATCCCAATGTAATATTATGCAAAACATGAGACTTTTTTTTCCAGTGTTTCAAACGCACCCTTATGAAACACTCGTATATCAGGAAAAACTGAAAGACACCATAATGAAGCAAGGTGGTCCTAAGTGATTTACAATGCTACGTTGGTCGAAGTGATACTTTTGACTATTGAACTTTTGTATATAAGTTGAAGCTGTGGATGAACGGAAAACCGATGGCAAGAAGTAAGTATCTGATTTATGTGATATTGGTACTTTGGTGTATATTTTTACATCTCACAGCTTCGGCAGATCGCTTAGTCCTGTTAATTTGGCGCAAGAGCGCTCGATCAGTGAGTTATTACTCATTCTTTCGAGGGTGGCTGCTTCTGGGCAAACCTCCTGGCTGTCTCTGTACCCCTCCTTATAAATTATGTTGTTCGTTCGATTTATATGGAAATCTATTTACGAGTAGTGTTCTAGTGTGGAATGCATGCATAATTGGTTGAAATTGTTGGATAATTTGTTCGAAATATTGAATGGATCCAATCAGATCCAATAAATGGTCAGTAGTAACGTCTACGGGATAAAACCAATCTAATCAAACCGTTCATTGAATTGGATTGATTAAGTTGTAAAAAGTTATCTGCGTTGACCCGATCGTTAAAATTCAATATTTAACAGACTATTGTGTTTGATCGGATCTGTCCAAATTCATTCGTTATAAACCGATGAACACCCTTCAAGATAATGAATAATATCGATTTAATTTTTTTTAATTAAATATTAACTTTAAAAAAATATAATGGTATAATGACCTTTTTACCCATACTTATAATACTAAGAACCAGGAGTGCTCAAAAACCCGATGAACCTAACCCGAATTTTAAAAAAAAAAAACCCAACCCGAGGTAACCCGATGCATGATCGATAAAAAAATTAGTCAACCCGACCTTATTGGGTTGGAATCGGGTCAGGCCCAAAAAAACCCGACCAACCCGATGAACCCGACCTTAACTTTAGCTTTGAATTATAGATGACAATCATGACATGACCAACCTCAACGTCAAGAAAGCGAAAACATCGGGGTTGGAAACGTCTAAAACTATTGTTGTTGATTGATGTATTATCATTTGGTTTAAACATTTTTATTGTAATATCTAAATATTTGATAAATTTGCATGTTATCTTGAATGGTCGGTCGTATTTCAAAGAAAAGTTTCCTTTATTTTTATGTGATTTTACATTGTTTAAACACAACCCGATCAACCCGAACGGGTTGAGTTGGGTTGAACTTTTGTTTGGGTTGGATTGAAAATTTTCAAACTGCCAACATAGAGTTGGATTGTTAAAACGGCTCCAAACCGATCAACCCGGGTCGTGAGCACCCCTACTAAGAACTATATATTATATTCAATCAAGTTAAAATATGACATTTAACTTGATACATGTAATAAAAAAAGTATTTTTAAATTTAATTCTTTTTATTTTTGGACATTCAAAATGAAATAAATGATGATATATTTTATAGTAAACTACAAATTTGGTCCTTGTGGTTTGTCAAAAATAATAGTTTTCATTCTTGTAGTTTCAAAATTACAAGATAACCATAATGATTTATAAAAAAGTCTGCATTTGATTATTTTCTTTAACGGCCGTCAACAATTTTTGTTATATAAGAAGCATTTTCGTTCTTTTATTAGTTTTTTTTTTTTTTTTGTCTTTTAAGCAATCAAAAACCACAAGAACCAAAATTGTAAAATCGATTTTAATTGGGTAAAGAACAAAAAACGGGATGAAAACACGGAAATGTGTCTTAGAGGCTGTTTACTCAAATGCTTACCCGGTAAGTGCTTACCTATAGGAGTCAACACTATAATTTACCTTGATGCGTAAGATTTTAGTACATCAAAACGTATCGAATGCAACAATTTACCGGGTAAGCACTTACCTGAGTAAGAGTCGTCATCTTCACTTACCGGGTAAGCACTTACCTGAATAAGAGTCGTCATCTTCACTTACCGGGTAAGACTCAACATCTTTCTCATCGCTCTTACCTGGTAAGATTCTTGACCCTTGTCACGTTCATCCGATAAGTAAATTTATCCGGTAAGCACTTACCAATAAAACGTTTAGTAAACGACCATTTAGTTAAAAGAGTTTTTTAATGACTGTTAGAGGGAGGGATCAAATATGGACGTCTTACTGTCTTACAATTTTAAAATTGTAGAGACAAAATATGTTATTTTTGATAAACGAGAGAGACCAAATTTGTAGTTTATTTAATATTTTATTGTAAAATATATGAGGTAATTTATTAATTATTATTGTGGGCCATATCTTCAAATCAAATGCCAACGTTATAAGCATAACGACCATCACCGACAATACATGTTGTTTATGGTTGATTTTTACTGAAAACCCAAATATATTTTTTATTTTAAATTTAAGTTTTTTATTTTTTTAAATAAATAAATTATTGGATTTTTTTTATTTTCAATAGTTAAATCTTTGGATATTTTTTTAATAAATAAACTATCCATTTTTAAAAAAAAATTGATTATATATATATATATTTAATAAAAAAAACTAAGAGACCGTTTACTAAACACTTACTTGGGTAAGTGAACACCAAGTCACATTATCTTACCGAATGAATATGATAATGACCAATAATCTTACCCGATAAGAGCGAGACAAGGACCAAGAGTCTTACCCGGTAAGTGAAGGCGACGACTCTTACCACGGTAAACACTTACCGGATAAATTGTACCGGTAAGCGCTTACCAGGTAAGTGACGGCCCCTAAGTTAGTTTCATCTTTCCTAATTCCTACCACACTCAAACCCTTACATTCAATGACATTTTCTTCCTTGCTCTTTTACAACAATTTAATGAAGTATGTATATATTAATAAAAAAAAGGAAAATTGAAAAACAAAAAAACTTATCAAAAATAGATCGATGGCAGAGGCCAACGACGGTAATGGTTGAGCAGTAATAGAAAACATATGACAATGGGGCGGCAAGGGGTCCTGATGTCGTTAAGTACGAGGGGTTTGAATGACGTAAAGTTTGGGAACAATAAAACTAATTTAAGGTTTTTCTATTTTAAAACCTTTTTAGCCGGTTATAAACAGTTTTTTTGGGTTAAAAGAATGTAAGTATTCAATTTCTAGAAGTTCAATGCTTAATTTATTAAAAAAAAATTCAAGAACTTGATTATTTAAAATGAGAAAGTTCAATATTTTAAGGGACGTTCCAATCTTTTTGGAGGCCTTGTTGCATCCAGAACTTTTGATGGCATTACATAAGAGATATCAATATATATATATATATATATATATATTATATATATGTGTGTGTGTGTGTGTTAATCACAAAAGGGCGCTGATCCTAAACAACCAACAATCTCAACCTAACCTAAACCTACACAATTAACAATTTGAATCTAAACAATTTGGGCTATAGTTTTACACAGATTGATGAAAATGCCCTAAACATATGTAAAATTGGGCCCCAAAATTTTGGAGGCCCTGTTCAAAATCTCACATTTTTAACATGCTAAATGACGACCCTGTTTATCAATCAAAAGATAGTCTACGGACTCTATTATTCAAAATAGAGAAGTTCATCGAGTTTTTTTCTTCAACTTTTTACTCTGTAAAAAAAATATTTGGAAAGTCATCTTATAATAATGTTATCTAAATTAAATATTTTGATTTTTTTTTCCGACTAGAGTCCCTATGATATGTTTATTATAGATTTGGTCCTTGTGGTATTCAATTTGTTTTGTTCATTGTCCCTCTGACTAACGCCTTTGTTAACTCTGTTAAATCAAGGGTCATTTTAGCCTTTTGTCTTCTTTATCTTTTTATATAAAAAAGTAAAAATGGTATTTTTATACATACAATGTATATAATGATATCAAAATAAATAAAATAAGATATGATTTACCTTTTACTTCCCCCCATTACATTTTTCCACGGGTCCCAACCCCAATCGAAACCGTTACTCTAACAAAAAAAATCTATTAAAAAACCAAAAAAAATATTCGAAATCAACAAAAACACTAAAAAACCTCTCGAAATCAACTAAAAAGCTTAAAAAATCACTTGAAACATTGTAATTAGGTTAAAAACACATCGGACGATTTTGCGGGTCTTTAGTCTACCTTAAAAATGACCCCACTGAACAAAAATCCTAGATCCGCCACTGACTACAACGACCAAATCCAATCATAAGGACCCTAATAAAAAAACATCAAACCATATACACAATTCACTCTTATAAACATAAATAAATAATTTTATTTTATCATTTAATTACAAAGAAAGCAAAAATGATGATCATTTATTTGAATTTTGTCTAAAAGAGAAACATGTCGAAACTCTAGGGGCCAACATGTAAATATTGAGAGATTCCGCTTTAAGCAAAAACGAACATAAATTACTCGACTCAAATACGCACCCAGTGTGAGAGAGAGGCCAAAGCAACGACGACCCTTCTCTACGGAACTTCTTTCTGCAAAAAAATTGGCGTCAATTTCTAAATAAGAAGCTGAAGATCAGTCATGAATCGCCGTGAAGATCCCAATCCTTTTGATGAAGAAGTCAATCCATTTTCGGTAACCACCATTCTAGATCTGCTTAGTTTTCTATCTACTAGATCGGATAAATCAATAGTTTTTTAGGTTTAAATAGACGGCATTTTTATGTTAGACATTAATGTTTGCATACGCTTGGTATTTTGGGTTATCCATGTAGATTTGTGGTAATTTGGGTAATTTTTGTTGTAGATCTGAGGTAATTGATTATGAAAATTTAATCAATTTTGTATAAAGTTGTAATGTATTGTGTTGTTTCTTAGTTTAGAAATGATAGGGATGTTGTTTCCCAAAAGGTTTTGATTAAGGATCATTTGGCACGTTAATACGGATTGCCGCCACAAGGATCATTTGAATCTCCAGGATTTATCGATGATTACGGAAATTTAGGCTATGTTGCAATGATAATGGTGTACGATAGTGATGTGTGGTAACTAGATACCAGGATTAGGCTGTTCCTAGAAAATGATGATAGGGCGCATTTAAAATAGCATTTGTACATCTGTCTGAAACCAAACCAACAAAAAAAAGAATATTTTTCATATTATATTCATATATAATTAACATTTTTTTTTTGTTTTTTCCAGAAGACATGAGAAACCATATCCAACCTTGTGATAAGAACTCATGACCTCCAAATTATCTTAGATATAATATAAGTATATAACCTCTTGGACTAGTCTAAACAAATTTATTGTCACATCACCCACCTCCTTTCTAGTTTGTAGGCATGCTATGTAAGTTTTATCTTAGATTGTTAAAATTAATTGCTAATTTTATAATTTGTGAACTTCCATCTATCTACTTGTACCAAAGGACCAAAATTGGTCCTACCATATCCTATGAATTTGGTGTAATGGGTTCACGAGGGGTAGAAACATCCTACTTCCGAACTTCAGGATATTTGGTTTTATTTCTCGTCATTTTCTTGGGCTTTATTTGGGTCATTGACTCTGTGTAGATTAAACGAACAAAACGAAATGATATTTATCTATATGATTGCAATCTTTGCTTCTATACATTGCCGACTAGTCTTAAATACCTTCAATAATTACAAAACAGTAGGATTGCCATGGACCAAAGTCGATATCTTAATTTTTTTTAATAATCACAATGGCCAAATATGCAAGTACAGAATGGATATTTGCTAAAAAAAGATATGTCACAATTATAACGGAGGGAGGATTCAGTTAAAGACCAAAACTGGTATCTTTCTTTTATCAACTCCACTTTTTTATTTATTGGTATTAACCAATTGAAATTGGATTTTTTGCTGGGCATTGTTTTATTATGAACCAAACCAACATTGATTTGTTTTTGTTTACCTTTCACTACCTTTCGTTCTACATCAACCTTTGATTTTGCAAAAGATTACAATGGGCATCTTCAAATTAAACATAGTTCTGCTGGAGATAGTTCCTCTATTCTCAGCATGGGAACCAGCCAACTAGGGCCAGTTTTGTTGGCACTTCCATTGGATGCTAGCTAGTTTCTTTTCATATCACATACCTGTTCATAACGTCATAATAGTGGTCACAGTTCGATTTGACACAAAAATATTATGCTCAGTATACCCTCCCTCCTAAAAAAAGAATAGATAAGAAAACACCCAGGAAAGATAAATAGTAAATGATGACTTGACTTTTGATGAATGTCATTTACAGGAATAAATCACCTTCAGATCCTAACCTACACACACATGTCTTTGAATTTCATTAATCATCTCGTCTTGCTTAACACGGATAAGCACAAGAATGCCACAATTTGCACCGGCTGTTACACATTTAACTAAATTAATATGAATGATATTAATTTAAAAGATCAAGAAAAGGGGTTGTTACTTTAAAGACAAAAGACAACTACAATCCAGTATAACCAATCATATATCTAAATATATGGACTCCCCAGTTCATAAATAGTAGATTATCCCTGTTTCCCTTGGGGGTATAGGAAGGAGATCATAGAAAATGGGTACCTGAAAATATTCAGCTGGAGGAGAAAAGAACATTGAAATCGAATCGGTATTTGGGTGTTCATGGCCAACATCCTAAACTCTGACTGGACTTGGATAACTAGCATGGTTCCTACAGGCAGTAACTGAAGGCAATGGCTGTGAGAATTCAGAAAAAGAGTAGATTGCATTAATCGAACAGGTAATGGTGCATTATTTGCTAGCAAACAGCGTAGAATGTGAAGATTCAATGGAACAAGCCAGATACTAGTACAACTATTTTTTGTTTAGCTGGTAACTTCAGTCCATCAATTTTATTGATAATGCAAGCTAATCGCTTACTAGAGTTTTTGCTTGTGTGTATTGCAGTTGGCAAGAAATTTATAAATTTGAGTTATGGATCTCAAGATCTGACACTAGACTAAAAAAATTGGTTCTAACTTTGTAGCCTAAAGATTTAGAAGATGTGAAGTTTCAATGGCTCATTTGAAATATTTATGTGCGTTTGGTTAAGAAGTTATATTTCATCTGCATGAAACTAAAGAGTATTTGTGTTACTGGATTTCCCTACTGTTAAGAATATTGTATACGATGCATTTGCCAAAAGATCACAATAACCAAGTTCTTTGATCTTATAGGAATTATAACCTCTGTTTTACACATTCTTGAGACATTATACATCAAGGTGGAGTGTAAAGAAACATCTGTGACATCTCTCTCGGAGATCATGCTCTAAAAGCAACATCTGTAGAGAAACACTTGTGAAGCAACTGGGCCAAGATATACCTTTCAGGCTTTCACTACGGACTTTAATAGTAGGACATGATTAAAGCATGCAGTCTGGAGCTCATGTCTTGAAATTTGATTTTCTTGTATGTGGCATGCTCGGAGTTGAGGCCTATTATCACTTGTGAAGCAACTGGGCCTATATATATTTTTCACATTGGAGTTTGATGTTAGGACATGATTACATAATGCAGTCTGGACTTCATATACTGAGATTTGATTTCCTTTGATGTAGTCTCTTCATTTTATGGCTTGATTGCAGAATGGAGCTGCTGCTCCTGGATCAAAATCTCGTATTCCACAGATGGTTGCTAGTACTCTTGGTTTTGGTCAAAAGCATGATGCAACTGTTGATATACCATTGGATTCAATGAATGTATGATATTCTGTTTCCTGTATTAGTTCCTTTCAACTCTCTTGGGATGCTTACTATACCTGCTGGTGTCATGTTCCAGGATCCAAAGAAAAAACAGAACGAACTTACAAACTGGGAAGCTGACTTGAAGAGAAGGGAAAAGGTCGGTTTTACATTTCTTTTTAGTAACTTGATGCCATCTGCCCTGCTAGTGGGTGTGACAATTCGTTTTCCTTTTTGTACAAGGATTAAATGTGCTCTTAACAACTCAAGGAGTCAGATGCTGTCACTGTTACACTTTTGGGTTGTATTTGTTTATTATGCATCCTAGAATGATTTGAAGTTACTTATTGTCATATACCCTACAGGACATCAAACGACGAGAAGAAGTTGTTGCTGGTGGTAAGTATTGCTGCTTAATATCATTGCTCGAACTATGGTTTTATTTATTGTGGGACAGTTTTAAACTTTACTCTCATGACATGTGAAAGCAGCTGCCATCCCCACAGATGATAGAAACTGGCCTCCATTTTTTCCAATAATTCATCATGATATAGCCAATGAGATACCAGTTCATGCTCAAAAGTTGCAGTATTTGGCGTTTGCAAGTTGGTTAGGTATGAATTTCATGTCTTTATTTTTTTAATGTTGTTTTTAGTAGGAATTTTAACTATAGTGATGCAATTTTTTTATTTATCAAAATCTGTTTTTGCTCTATTTCTTTATATATGGAGATACTCTTATATTTAGTTATCATAAGGCAACCGAATCCAAGCAGAACATGAAACTTCTGGCTGGTTTCTTTAGGAAGGAAAAACAATTATTACAGTAGACACAAACATAATGAGTCGCAAGTGAGTCGAGTTAAAGGATGGTGGATGTGTTGTAAAAATTTGGTGTTATCATCTTATGTTGCCTTTGCTGGTTCATTCACTTGCTTATTGATACGACGAATACAACAAAGAAAACAGTAACAAACAATAAGAAAACGACATAATATAAAAAATGGAGTGTATATACCATTCCAGAATACACAAACAGACTGGCCCGAGAACGAGCACAAAACAGAAACAGATTATGAATCTCCTATATACCGTAGTTTTCAGGGGCGCATCTCCTTTTCGACCCCAGATTCGCTGAGGGCAGTGAAACCTCGTGATTGCTCGCACAGAGAACTCATCTAATGTTCTATAGAATCCCTGATATGCTTAAGAACCCCTCTGAAAACAAAATGAGTCCCTCTGTTTCAGAGAACCCCTCGGGAGACCAGATTGAAGTCTTGATTCAGGACATTCTAACACTTATAATCATCCTCATAGGCACTAATATTTGTACTGCAATAATTATCTGTTATTACTCATCATTCTGATTTCTTCACAAAAGTGAATGCTATATAACATTGTCTTATTTTGGTATCGACACTTACCATGCAGGTCTAGTTCTCTGCCTTGTATTTAACGTCATAGCAGTGATCGTCTGTTGGATCAAAGGCGGTGGTAAGTTTTTATTTTTATGCATCTTAACTGATATGAACCAAGGCAGTGCCAAGTTCAGAGCTTCTGGGCCTTTCCATGTGCAGGTGTCAAGATTTTTTTCCTTGCAACAATTTATGCACTTCTTGGAGTACCCCTTTCCTATGTACTATGGTATAGGCCACTCTATCGTGCAATGAGGTATGTACCTTTTTCACTTGCTTTCCCATCAAAAGATAATTACGATCAAGTCCTTTGCTGAAACTGCCATGGCTCAACGTTTATAGCTTGGGTTAGTGGTAAGTTTTGACTGGGCTGATGAGTAGTTCTTTGCGTTTATAGCTCATCTTTTAATAAGAAAGCAGCAAAGAGTTTTGAGGTCCTCTACAATATAATGTGGTTACTGGTGCCCATGCTTTTATTTTACTGAGGCTTCGGAGGTGATCAATTTGTATGTTCCTCTACTGATATGGCACACAAATTAATATTTCCAAGTTATAGATGCATTCATATAGCAAGTCAGAAAATATAGCTGCTGGCTGTAAATATAATTTTGAAGATGCAACATGTGGCCCGATCCATACGCATTCAGGTGGATAGTATCCTACATCTGTCAAAGTAGATAAATGAACCCAGTTAATCCCACACGAAGAAGGGTATCTGGGGGTAGGGTATATGCACAACTTACCTCTACATTGAGGAGTATAAAGGCCGCAGTCAAGACCCCTGCTTGGTATACATTTTGCAAAAAACAAGGAAATTTGGGGGGATGATATCCTACTTCTATCAAAGTAGATATCATCTTCAATAGCGTCCGCTCCAGGTGGATATGAATATCCAATAATCATGATGTACACATCACATCCATACTAGAAATAATCATAGGAAATCCTGTACCATCTAGGAATTTATGAAGGCTTGCATGTAATGTAGGAGATGGAATGTTTTTGAAGTACTAGTATTTTGTGTCTCGTGAATTATTCTATCATGTTTATCACTATTTTTGTTAGAAATGGGTAAAATAGATGAAGCTCTATCTGTCTTTCACTTGCATACCTCAACAAAGAAGCTTTATCATTTATGTTATTCATGTCCAATTGTCGTCCAATTACCTAATATAAATGGGTCGATAGGAGGAGATGATTTCATTTTTCTCATGCCATTGTGCTTCCTGTTGTTTCTCATCCCAAATTGACCATTCATGTTAGATAATTGGGTGACAAATAATGGAGATGATGCAATTGGTATGGTTGTGAGATTCCAAGTATGTGATTTACAAGCTTCTATTGAGGTATGCAGGTGAAAAGAATTATAAGAGCTTGAGATGCGTATGTAGTAGTGTCCTGAAGTTGGAGAGGTGTATTTTCTATCGTAATGTTATGGTGATTCCTTTGGAGTTTTCTTTTTCCCTGGATATCTTTAATATATAAATGGTGTTGTTGTTAGAACCAGACCAACGAATTTCAGAATTACCATTCCAATCTAAACTAAAACAGTAACAATCAGAAAAATTAACCAAGAAAGTTCATAAAATTCTAACCTTTACGATGATATCTATATGCAAATCGTGAGATAGAGGCCTGCCGAAACAGTGACCTAAGACGAAATTTCGCCCCCAATCGTGCGTTGGTAATCGGACGTCGTCTTGAGGATACAACTATCTAACCGGATTGATGCACGTCAATCCGATTCCATCGAATCAATAATACGTTCATAAGCAACGATATAGAGAGAAAAAAATTATGGAGAGAAATTTCTGTTTAGTGCGTATCTGCTTCGTGTACGAACAGCCCTCTAATTAAAAAATAAAAACCGCTTTCTTCGTGTACGAACAGCCCTCTAATTAAAAAATAAAAACCGCAAAAAGCAGTTACGGACGGGTCGGGCAAAACCGTAACCGGGTCATAAGAGGCCCAAGGCCCAAGGCCCATCTTTTGACCATTAATATTGGGTATTACTACACCCAAGCCCAAGGTCAATCCTTCCTTTGGGCCTCTCTCTAACTTGCTGATCCATGTTTGTAAGACAATATAAACACATGAAAAGTTCATTCTTTTTCCTATGTGGGACAAGGGTGGACTAATATCCAACAGTTGTTTCATTAATGAATCTCCAACTATCAAGTTTTTGATATCACACAGCACTGCACTGTGTTCTCTTTGCCCTCTAAAAACCAAGTAAGAAAATAGCAAAACAGTAATCTTTTGAAACAGCTGCTCACACGATTTTAGATTTTGTCCCTCTGTTCATTGCATGAAAGTGCTCGAGAGATAACTGGAAGTTCATCACAAGTCTTTTTTGTTTCTTTATTTTGCAGGACTGACAGTGCTTTGAAATTTGGCGGGTTTTTCTTGTTTTACTTGGTAAGTTCCTGCCAAGAAACCATCTCAAAACTTTGGTGGTTGATTTCAAATCATCTCTCCCTTACGAAATTGTCATTTTGCAGCTCCATCTTGGCTTTTGTATATTTGCTGCTATTGCTCCTCCAATAGTCTTTCATGGGAAGTCATTGACGTAAGTTCTGTTCTTTTCTTAACTATAAACCGATGATCATTGTTACAAGCTTATAAAGTAAAACACTTTTTTTTCGGTGGGGGTGTCCAACAGGTTGAGTTATTAAAAGAGCCTAGTAGTATACCATATTTCAGTTACATGTCCATCTGAGCGTAGTATTTCATTTATAATTGATTTACATGTTTGTGCTTGATGTCCATCTTCTAATTGTATCTACATTGTATTTAATCAACAGGGGAATCCTAGCTGCAATTGATGTCTTTTCTGACGATGCTCTAGCAGGGGTAAGTCCTAAACTCTGCATATATTGTGCTTGCAACTAATGCCATAATTAACAAAGTGGCAAACTCATGTACATGAGAAGTATGCATAAATTTAGCTACTTGTGCTCACTGAAACAACCAAAAATGAGTCACATGGTGCATGAATATTTTTTCCAGGCATGTGTGTGTTCTAATGAGGAGCAAGAGAGGTAACTGATATCTTTTGAGATTCCTATAATTGGGATATTGCCATCGAAGAGAATGTTGGCAACGGAAGTTACACCGTGTCACATTGCACCTCAAACCAGTCATATTACCGCAAATGGTTGCACGACCATTACACCTACTGTCTTGACTCTGAGAGAGAAAATATGCAATACTAAGATCTATCTGTATGATGATATTATTTGAACCGATCATAACAAAACAAGTACACATAAAGGGGCACACGAGATTATCATCATAGGCATGTTAAACTTCTGTAAACTACAAGTTATTCGACCTTGAATTTCAAATTTTGGAAACAATAATTAGAAAATAGGCCTAAATAACATCTTTATGTGCAGACATGCTTGTTTAGATATTTCTTATCTCATCAACAAAAATAATATCAACCATTTGCTGTTACTTGTTGCAGATCTTTTATCTGGTAGGATTTGGATTATTTTGCTTAGAATCACTTCTAAGCTTCTGGGTACTTCAGGTAAAAAGTCATAAAACTCTCGTCCCTTTTCATTTCTTCATCGTTAAAATTAGGCTATAATGCTTGTTCTTTTCCGTTCTTTGGTTTATACAGAAAGTTTACACATATTTCCGTGGGAACAAGTGAGATGTGTCGACTTCTGATTCCTCAACCTAGTCTATATCGTCGGTTGGTTTTGTATCTATCCGTAAAACACTGCTAGTTGCGTTAGAATGCATTGGTCGCGGCTTGTTACGTGGAGGATTTCGAAGTTCTCGTGAGAAGAAGCATAATGCTTGAATCTTATGTATGTATAATTGAAATTGATTATAGGAACATAAAATAAAAAACTATCTATTCTTGGCTACATTTCCTTTCATTATAGGTTTTCTTATTCATATGTGCATGCATGTCTTCTTTATCTGTTTCTTATGCCTCATTTGCTTTCTTTAATCAGTTGGAGGGACTGTTGATTATGGATTCCATCCATATATATCTAGGGGTGATCAAAAACCCGATCAACCCGATTAACCCAACCCAATCCAACGTGAAATAATACAACCCGAAGCAGTCCGATGTCTAATCGAGTTGTAAAATTGTCAAACCGTAGGTATTGAGTTGATATTGGGTTATTATTATTTGAACTCAACCCAACCCGATGAACCCTATATCATTTTACTTCTTGGATTTAATATGATTGTTAAATTTCTATTAATATATACATTAGACAATTATATTATCATGTATGTTTTTCATATACACATATTTTCAATCTAGTCACATTTCTATATAATTTATTCGTATACATGTTCAGTAACTGTGAACGTAAATATGTAAATTGAGAAAATTAACTGAATGTGATATACGTAAAAAATATGGATAAATTGTTTCAAATGGTTGATGATGAAAAAGAAAGTATGAGTAGAGAAATAACATATTCAAGGCTAGAAGAATATTTTAATGTACCAAAGTATCAACCTGACTAACCTGACCAACCCGTACGGGTTGGGTTGGGTTGGGTTGCACTTTGGTTTGGGTTGGATTGAGTTAAGATTTTTCAAACCGCAAGCATTGGATTGGGTTGTTCAAGTGTTTTCAACCATATCAACCCAACCCATGAACACCCCTACATATACCTCGACCTGATAAGCATGTTGCTGATTAATACAGTTGTAGGATACTGACATCTGAATAGAATAGAATTTTTCAGCAGCAAGTAATTTGAGAGAATTTAAACTATTTTTCCCCTTCAAGCATACAAATAGTTCTAGCTCTTACAAAAATGGACAATATTTATGTACCAAGTCCACAGCTGGCCAAATGGTATGGCGCAATAGTATTACTGGGGTAGATATATAGATATACAAATCACTTTAGATAGAAGTAGTCGGGATTAACCACAAAGGTGGTGTTTGATTGGCTTGAGCTTGGCTCTAAAGGTCAAAAGTATCAGGAGGTCCCAGTTTCAAATCCAAGAATGAATAAAAATCCCCTTGTGGCCATGGAGGTTCAAATGCGGTGACTCTGGACTATCTGCAAAGTAGGTGGTCGCCCTGAGATTAGTCGGTTCGCATAGCGGATTGGATATCCAGGTTAATAAAAAAAAATAGTCGGGTGGACGAATTTGGTCCAAGGGTATGAGCTTTTAAGGGTCCATGAGATTAATCGAGGCGAACTGACACCCATAATTATCATAACTGTTTAGGATGCAATTTCGGTTGTTAAATCCTCTTTTATTTCAATGAGTAAACAATTACAAGTTGAAATTTTTATGTTTGATAAATTGCTGCTGCAAATTCCATAAAGTATCAACTAATTTCTAATGCTTAGTCTATAGGGCAAATTGCATGTAAATGTAAGATACTTTAACTTGATTCATATTTTGGGTAACATATTTTCAAAACTTCTATTTTGGTACTTAAGATGTAAAATTTTAAACATTTAAGTACCCGGGTAACTGATTGAAGACTAATTTTAGATTAAAAAAAAGACTAATATTAAATTAAAAAAATCCATGTCATTAACCACGTCAGCAAATAATACTGAGTTAGATATCATATCAATCGCCACATCAGCATGATAGCCGGTTAATGCTTCAACTGGTTACCCGGGTACGTTACACAAAATAGAAATCAAGTTAAAGTACGTTACTTCTTTATGCAATTTCCCCTTTTCTATATAACATGTCCAAAAACAATTGGCATTTATCTGTAAACACCAAAGATATACTAAATCTTGTGGGATTAGCTGACAATAACACTTAGAGCCTTTAGGGATTCTCCTTGACGGTCACCCGTTAGAATCCTGCAAGGTCACTAAAGATGTTCTTGACCCTCCAAACCTATGAGATTAGTCGAGGTACACACAAGCTGGCTCAGATACCCCATTATTAACAAAAATAAAATAAAAAATAAGGATATACTTGTTAATGATAAATTTTCGTCTACAACATATGCTACTTCATACTAGCTATCTATCTAAAATTTTATTATAAATCGAGAATGAAAATTTAATATAACTGCTCATCAAAAATGAACATTTAAAATTAGTAGAGTTCGATGCTTATCCATTATTTCAACTTGATGATAAGTTGGTTTTATAAAATTCAAGTGTGAAACTTTTAAGTTGTACACAAAGAACAATAAGTTGACTCGAATTTAATTTTCCGAAAAAGGCTAAATGTTATATAACATAGTAAAGATATCATAAGCTTCATATCGGACAAGTAGATATAATGGTTGTCTGGAGACAAATAGGTTTTCTTGAATAAATTTCAACCAGTGAGGCCACGTCGTTTGCTGATCCTCGTTCGAAGCACGTCAAGGTGCCAAGTTTTGCTAGCTACAAGATGTGGCTACGCCACGATGTTGTGGGGCAAGTTGACGAGATGCTATTGTGGGCTTCAGACACCACGTAGACGTGCAACTTCCTGATCCTTGTTCGAAGGAAGACCAATTGCCCAAGCCCATAAAAAACCCCAGGTTCGACAGGGTAAATGCATTATAAAGGGACTAGCAACCAAATGTGCCTAAATATAATGCTTCTATTTTCTATTGGTATTAAAACAAAATCCAACCACAAGGGTGGTGCCTGATTGGTTTGAGCTTGGCTCCAAAGGTCAAAAGTACCAGGAGGTCGTAGATTCAAATCCAATGAGGAATAAAAATCCTCTTGTGGCCACGGAGCTTCAAATGCCGTGACTCCGGGCTATTTGCAAAGCATGTGGTCGCCCTGAGATTAGTCGGCTCACATAGCGGGTTGGATATCCATGTTAATAAAAAAACAAAATACAATGTTTTATTTTTTGTAATAAATCAATTATATTTTAATTTTAATAAGAAGATTGATCACTTCGGGAATTCATCAAATGGTTGGGTTCCAATCCAGTGAGACCACTCACTGTGAATACATTCTTTCCATAGTGTTTTTCCTGTGAAGGTTTTATGATCTTACGGCTCCAAAGTGGTCTTACAGACTCACAAAAAGTAGGTGGTCTTCATCCAAATACATCAACATGCAACTTCATAACTCACTACAATAGTATGCAATCATCAAAATACTCCAAATGGCAAAATCCTGCAGACTCTCCATACATGAATAATTTACACAAATATCCTTCGAATTTGGTCTTTCTAAGTAGTTCAAAGACCTAAGCTTTCATCTTAGGTTTTGTTCGTCTTGAATCTTAGCATGCGGACACGTGTAATAAGAACAAAACTTAAGAGATAACGTTTACGAAGAAAAGTCAACTAAAGTCAAAGGATATCCCTGAGCTACTTGTACCTATTGCTTTAAGAGTTGTACCGTATATTTGAAAAGATACCTACATTACATACATGCATTTCTGATCTTATTATTTTTTGGCAAAAAGGGAGTGGAATTTAAGATTAGGGAGGAGCAGCAGAATGGCAAAGAAGATGACCAAAGTTGATATGGTTGGCAAATAAGGACCCAAAGACCCACTCCACACAATACTACTACCCTCATCTTCAATCAACCAATGCCTTGATGCCATGTGGCATCACATATATCCAAACTGCATCAAATAACCACCAAGCTTTTCCATGCCTATTGTTATCACAAATGCCATCACCTCATCTTCAACACCAATCTTTTTTTCCCCAACATTTGTTCTGAAATGACGAAAATGCCCTCAAACTTTAAAAGACAACTATGACCACTCTCTTTCTCCACCTTTAGATTACTTACATATTTTGTCCAATGCCAGTGCATTAGAGAGTTGTACAGTGTGAAACTCAAGTTGTATAATGCTTTGTCCAGACTGGAATTGCTTGTAGCAATCTAAGCTACCCCTTCTTTCATTTTGTATCTCACAAAAAATATCACTTAGGAGAAAATGACCAAAAACCCATTTCCAGTGACACATTAAAAAGCTATTTCTCTCTCTCTCTCTTGAACTTCAGAAAGTTAAGAGAGAAAAAGAATGGCAGTGTCCACAGTGTACACAGTCCAAGCTCTCAACTCATCATGTTCAATCTCAACACCCACCAAAACCCACTTAGGAATTCAGCAAAGACAAGTGTTGTTCTACAGCAATGCTGGTAAAAAGACCAATAAGGGAAGAGTGAGAGGTGGTGAGATTAGATGTGCAGGGGATACAATAGTAATTGGACTAGCAGCAGACTCAGGGTGTGGGAAGAGTACCTTCATGAGGAGGTTGACTAGTGTGTTTGGAGGTGCAGCAGAGCCACCAAGGGGAGGCAATCCAGATTCAAACACACTCATAAGTGACACAACAACAGTGATCTGTTTGGATGATTACCATTCATTGGATAGAACAGGAAGGAAAGTGGAGGGGGTAACAGCTCTTGATCCAAGAGCCAACAATTTTGATCTGATGTATGAACAGGTTAAGGCTCTTAAAGATGGTATTGCTGTGGACAAGCCTATCTATAACCATGTTAGTGGTCTTTTGGACCCTCCTGAGCTCATCAAGCCCCCTAAGATCCTTGTCATTGAAGGTTTGCACCCAATGTAAGTCCACAATACCTATGATCTTATATTCTTCATTTCATGGATATTGTGGTTTTATGGTCAATAACGATAATTATTTTTCCTCAATTAGTGTAACAAACGTTCAATTTTTCCTATTTCGAACACGTTTTGACCGGTAGCCGGTAGATCTTGTAACTAAATGGTGTGGATGTCAAGTTGTAATATTATATTGTAATTCTTGATTACATGGAAAAATGCATACCAAATCAACCAATGTCACGTAGGTTTTATCAGGTAAAATGGGTACAAAATATGAACGATTAAATGTTTGTTACACTAATTGAGAAAAAGATTCACCGTTACGCAACATAGAAACAAGAACAAATTTTGTTACATATTTTTGCCGTGGTTTTAAATCCTAGGGGTGTCTAAACACAACTCATAAAAGAAATTTCTAGAAAGGGGTTTTGATGGTCAAGTGTCGGAGCGGCCACAGAGGACACTCAATTTCGATCTGGTTTGAGTCGGATGAAACTGGAAAGAAAAAGTAGTGTATACGCTCTTTCCAGCATAGGTTGAGCCGAAGGGTCTTGGTGCACCAAGATCGCGTTAACTTTTCACAGTGGAAGACAGGTCCATTCTTTTCTTCAAATTTGAGTGGGCGAGAAAGCTATTGATAACTTTACTCATGTGTGACTAAAAGTTAGTTTCGTTTGAAGAAAAATGATCTTTATAGAATGCAGGGAAAAGATTGTGTATTGAGAAATGTTACACCAAGATGGGGTTCAAGTTTGATTTTGTGAAGAAATGATCGAAGTGATTTCTATTAGTCGAGGATATGAAGATATCTAAGATACTTGATATGCCCTCCTTTGTAGGGCTGAGAAAATTCTGATACTTGCAATGCACCATGTTCAAAAGCTCGGTTTGGTTCCGATAACCTATTTTCCTTTTTCAAGCTTCATGTTTTTTCTTTAACTTTCTCTCTTCTAACTATTGACTAAAGAAACTTCTTAATAAAGATATCGATGTAAAGGAAAATCTTGGACCAACCAATATGGTTAGGAATTAGGCCACTCTGTGACAGAACAACAAAAACATCTCTGAAAAATGCTAGAGAAAATCTCTAAGGCTTTGCTTCCAACCCTCACAAAGTTGCTGAAGAGCCATAGTTCATAGGCTTTGGTTATATAATTTATGTTTTCAATATATGTAGGTATGATCAGAGAGTAAGAGACCTCTTGGACTTCAGTATCTACTTGGATATCAGCAACGATGTTAAATTTGCCTGGAAAATTCAGGTATCCCTAAATCCTCGATAGTGTGTTCTATCCTATGTTGTTATAATGGTCAAAGTCTGAAATTGTGGTCAGGACTGTGATTTGATATAGCAGTTCTTGCAATGATAAAACAGTGGTATAGCGGTCAAAAAATTGATATAATAATTAGAATTTTGTATATATATAATCTATCAAGTTCGGATGGTCAGATAGCACTCCTACCCTAGTATTGCCTTATTGGTTTTATTTACATTACCATATCACTTCTGCTACTGAAGAGTCAGGGAATGGAAAAAGAAAAGATGACCGAGGATATTGGTTATGTTCCATGTAGTGCTAAGCATGAGATGTATTGACAAATTGTAACAACAGTATCAGGGCTAGTGCTAACAGTTTCTATGAATTGTAGAGAGACATGGCAGAAAGAGGACACAGCCTTGAAAGTATCAAAGCTAGTATTGAGGCCAGGAAGCCAGATTTTGATGCTTATATTGGTAAACAAGCTATAACTTCAAACTTCTAATCAAGTTATCTATGTTCTTACCTCCTGCAAAACTTGCACTCAGCCAATTGGAATTGCCACTCAAGTAGTTGTGCGATTTCTTCAACCCTTTTGGCATGGTGATGCCCTAGCATGTAATATCAAAAGCATATATCCATATACATAAACATGGGAGGGTTCAAATGAGAACAATAAAACGGTTAAGAAACGCAATACCACAAAAAAGCAGATGAAAAAGTATAACACTACGAATGTCAAATTAAAGACAATAAAATGCTCTTTTTGGTATATTTCTTTGGGTTCAATTTTGATTACTTATAGTATATTTTTGATTAAAAAGTAGAGGGTAATCTAATTTATTTTAAAAGGCAGGTTTATCACATCCCTTGGATCAAATCCATCTAACCGTTAAGATTTGTTGTCACATGTTCAACCTTTTTACCGTTCTCATTTGAACCTCCATGTACATAAAAATTGGAAACTTGTATATGGGATTTGGATTACCTTTTTTCAGAACTTGAGAGGATTGAACCAGAATGTTTTTGTCTATGTGCATCTCCTGTTTTAAACTTCACTTTCATGATGCAGACCCACAAAAGCAGTACGCAGATGCAGTTATAGAAGTGCTGCCTACACAGCTGATTCCAGGCGACAATGAGGGGAAGGTTTTGAGAGTGAAGCTGATAATGAAAGAGGGAGTGAAATACTTCAGCCCAGTTTACTTGTTTGATGAAGGCTCCAGCATCTCATGGATCCCATGTGGGAGGAAGCTCACCTGTTCTTACCCTGGTATCAAATTTGCCTATGGCCCTGATTCTTACTTTGGCAATGAGGTAAGTTCAGATAATCTTCTATTATAACATGCCCATAAGTGCACTAATAAGCAGGTAAGTAAACTGAAAGCCTTTTTACCTTCCAGGTCTCTGTGTTGGAGATGGATGGGCAATTTGATAGACTGGATGAGCTCATCTATGTTGAGAGCCATTTGAGTAACATCTCCACCAAATTCTACGGAGAAATCACCCAACAAATGTTGAAGCATGCCGACTTCCCTGGAAGCAACAATGGCACTGGTCTCTTCCAAACCATTGCAGGTTTGAAAATCCGAGACCTCTTTGAACAAATCACAGCCAGCAAGGCTTCAGCTCCATTGGAAGCTACAAAAGCTTAAAGTAAAGAAACAAGAAGTGGTTTAACATGGAGCAAAAAAAGTCCCTTGATTTTTCTTCCCTCTACAACCTCTTGTCATGTAAAATTCCGAGTGTTAGGCTTTTATCGCGAGTTTCATGAGAGTTACACTCCCATATGTATTTAGTTCCATTCGTCTATTCCATGGAGATATGTAATATAGAGAATCAAATTCTTAACTGAAGTCTTGAGAAGATCAAAGAACTTATTATTAAGATTATCTGCATATACCAAAAATATAAGTGCAGGCAGCAAAGTTATACTATATGAAACTGTCTGCTAAGTTCTCCAAGAACTTGAATGTGATTCTTTGTCACCTGTAACATAATCCTTGTTTTTGGGCATTTAACGCTTTTGAAGCACACATTGATTTTACTTGCGACTACACCAAGCATCTTCCTCATTTTAGTCGAAAACTCAAGATGATGATTTTGAAATTTACTTCAAATTCCAGTTATACAATATACAATATAGAAGCTTCTTTAATGATTTCTAGGAAAATACTATAATCCTTGACCTATAAAGAAGCTTTATAGGAAGCTTTAGCAATTGTTATGAGCCATCCTGAGTATCTTGATGGTGAGACACTACACAACATCATAAAAATAATATCCAAAGTTTTGGCTTTTTCTTGTCTATTTTGTTAGCAGTTGTTATCAATTTCTTCATCTGACAACTAGAGTCTTCTTAAAATGATGAGAAACTCCGTGAACAGTCATCTAGAATTAACATGCATGGTCCGTCCTGATTGGTTGACTTTCAGATTGATTTATGGGTTTGTGTTGATGTGTGCAGAGGATTCAGCTGGCAAGAAAGTAGGCAATGATATGCATTACAGTGGCAGAGGCAGAGATAAGAGCAGCTGAAATGACAGTGGATATAATATGGAGATAAGGTCAGCTACAGCATGGATAAGAGACCAGAAAAAGCCATAGTGGAGGGGCGGTTGCAGTAACAGGGTGGGGATAAGTGAGGATGGTTTGGTACTAGGGTAGAGGCAAGGGATGATGGCATGAGATGGGTGGGGTGGTGGCCAGGAGGAGGGTGGGGCAAAGGAGGATGGAGCAGTGACGGTGAAGATAGAGAAGGAAGCACGGGAGGATATGGCTATCGAGGAGGTGGTAGGGAGGTTGGGGTGAAAGAGGTTGTGACAGGCACACGCGCACGATGCACACATGCACGCACACATACATACATACATACTTGAAGCAGCTAGAACACTACTTCTTTGTGACCAGGAGTTCACAAATTAGATTAATAGGAACAGCCTTTTTGCAAAATGAAAGGAAGACTGTGTACAAAGACTTTCCTCCCCAACCCTTTGCATAACTCAGAAACCTTTGCATACCGGACTGGCATTGAGTTGACTAGATAGATGCATCGGCTTATGATTGCATTCCAATAGTATAATAAGATTAAGGTGATGGTTTCCTCTCATCACATTATTTAGTGACCTCATGCTACATCCCAAAGGTTTGTTTTCTTCAAGCACATTATCATATGCAATTGTCCTATTTCATTACTAATTTACAAAAGATATACTATTAGATTACAAACTAAGAAAACAAAGTTAACATAAACCATACTTATAGAAAACAGTAAAAAGACATACTCATGACAGACTCCGACATATCTACAACTACCTTTTCCCAACTTCTAATATTCTAAACAGCAGATAATAAGTTATAAGCCCACTAAACAACCAGTTACACATATTTACTTAATCGTAACGAAGTTGTTAGTACCGAGTTTGGCCCAATGTGCCTTTAGGTCTACTGGATGAGAAAGATTGTGACCTTCGCTTGCAAGCTTGCAAAGTAGTTTCCGGTATGCACCATGGCTCATTTTCCTTCCACCCACACGTGCCCCGGGCCTCCATGGACTCATTGGAAGGGGAAAAACAGACATTCTAGAGTTGCAACAAGAAGATTGCCATCCACTAATCCCACATTTGTGGCACTGTCTAGCTACACCAGTGCAAGAACATACAGGAGGAGGTACCTTGGAAAAATCAAAGTTGGATTCATCAAAAACAATGTCAAGATTCTTCCTCTCAACATTGGGTTTCAGCATGGTTTTTCTCTTGGATTTCTTAGAAATAGAAGAGTTGCTCTGGGTGGTCTTGTTTGGCCCTTTTGGGGTTTTGGAAGAAAGTTCCTTTTTCTTCTTGTTGTCTGGTTCAGTCGTGGGAGCAACAGAACGGACGGGGACAGCTTCAGTATAAGTTTCTTGAGAGGCATTTGAGCTTGTTGTCGATGTTGGAAAAGTAACCCATGGTTGAAACCAGGGAAATTGATCAAAAAAGGGCCTGCCGTCATTGGTTTCAGACATTACGGCTCTTAAAAACAAGCCCTCTTCCAAACCTGATTACAGAAATCAGTATTGGCATCAGATATTTATAAGAGAATAATCAAACAAATGGAAATTAGTTGTGTTGTAATAGTTACTGTTATTTATGATGTACAAACACAGGAACCACAAATCGTTTGCAAAGACAAAAGCCATATAGCAAGAAATTTGGAGTGGCATATATGAAACTCCACATGTATGTCAAACTCCACGTGTACATAGAACTTTGGAAACATCTTGTTATCCCTATGGTATCCTCAACAAATCACCGTAGATTTAATCATCAAAAAAAGAAATGGAACTTTATTGTCATATATTTCTTGGTCACTCGACTTCTCCTGAACAAAGGAGTGTCAGGTACACATCTCAAGGTCTTGGAAGTATGTTATTAAAAGAAAAGGTCTCGGAAGTATGAAATGAAGTTTCATTTATAACTCTGGTAAATAGTTTGACAACCGAAGTCAAAGTGAGACATTTTTCTTTTCCACCTTCCTAACAAACACCCTGCATAATCCTAAGAACTTTAAAGAGAAACTTCTGATAAAGATGGCAGCCAAACAGAGCCAAAAAATGCGAAAGGTCAAACAATTTGCTCATGTCCCTTCTGTTGTTGTTGGATGTCGAGACTCAAGCCTGTAACAATTTCACTTCAAATGTGATATCAATTTCAAAATAAAATGCTCATTACGTTTTTAACTTCACAGCGTGAATAAATAATCGAATAGCAGTGGCGTCAATTCCGCAACAAAATTCACGATACGCTTGCATTTGAATTTTACCAGGTCTGACATAAAAAAATCAAAACCTAGCTCTTAACTGCGGCGGATTAATCAATGGACTTCATGTATATACACATTCGAGTCGTCACTTGCTTCCTTATAGAATGCACATATAAATTAACATAAACTAAGCAACAAACCATCGGATCATGAGAAAACAAGATCAAAGTGGTATAATTGAAGACGTAATTGCAAGTAATGTAGAAGAGAAATCAGATCATACGCAGATGCAGAAGAGTAATGAGGAAGAACTTACAGGCAAGTGTAGATCAGGGAGAGAGATTCTCCGTTCTCCGAGGCAATCGGTGCCTGATCGTTTACGCGATCGTTTACAAAAAGGGGAAGGAAAAAGAATAGAAAAGCACCGAAAACAAATTGAGGGGTGTTTGGGATTGTTTATTAAAACAACTTATGTTTTTTTTAAGATACTTATCAAGTTATGTGGTGTCAAACTAAAGTTTTATAAAAAGTGTTTGGATTAGCTTATGACGGTTTTAAAACATAATAAGTTGATAAGTTGTTCATTATTGTTCATAAATTTTGCTTATACATGTAAAATGACCAAAAAGGACGTTATCTTGTTTCATTTCCAAAGTGTCAAAACACACACAACAGTAATCAAAAACCCTAAATCGAGTTCCATCGTGAATCAGTAACCTCAAACCCTAAATTGTTCTTCCAAATCGAGTTCCATGGTTGAAGAAATCGAGTTCCATGGTTGTAAATCGAGTTCCATAGTTGAAGAAATCGAGTTCCATGGTTGAATAAATCGAGTTCCATGGTTGTAAATCGAGTTCCATGGTTGTAGAAATCGTACCTGGAGAAGAACACGATTTTGGAGAAGACGTACCTGGAGATCTGATCGATTTTGGAGAAGACGTGATCGATTAGGGGGTGTTTAGACAGGGTTAAAATGGTAAATCGGTAATAAGTCAATTTTCATAAGTCACTATGGATTAACTTATCAAAAACGACTTATTACCGGTTTGGTACCGGTATAAGCAGTTTTTTTTTTTACCCAAATACTCCAAAATGGCTTATCTCCGGTGCCAGACTGAAATAAGTCAATAAATCGTTTTGATAAGCAATCCCAAACACCAATTAATCAAAAGAAATTTGATTGTGAACGAATTGAAAAATAGAATTTTACTTTGTATTTGGTTGGAAGGAATGGAATCAAATCTCTCAGTAGAATTGGAACAATCAATCTTTGTTTGATAGGGGTAGGTGGTGGGGTGGTAGTTGTGACGATGATAGTGGTGGGATAGTGATCGGGTGGCTGGGGCTTGCGAGTGGGTGGGTATGACTACAACAATATAACATGGTGTTTAATGGTGGATTGGGGTAGGGTGGGGTGCGAGTTAGTAGCGGGGCGGGCGATGGGGATGGGTGGCAGCTGTGACGACGACAATGGTGGGATGGTGGTCGGATGGCTGGAAGTAGGTGGGTATGACGGTGATAGTAGTGACATGGTGGTTAGTGATGGATTGGGGCGAGGTGAGTGGCAATTGTGACGACGACAATAATGGTGTGGTGGTGGGGGTTAGATTAAGGATGTGACAGTAACGGTAATAACATGGTCATAGTAGAGATATGCAGTGAGTGACCGGGAGGCCGACGACAGTAATGGTTGGGGGATGGAGGGAGGGGGCATGACGAACAATAATAACATGGTCGTGGTGGGTGGTGATGGAATTCAATTCCTTCAATTATGCCAATAAATGATGAATTGATTAATTTCTAGAATTTGAAGGATTCTATCAATTTCAAGAAATAAACCACACAAATGAATTAAAATTTGGTCAAAGAAATATGTCATTCCAATTCCATCAAATTCCTTCGAATTCCACTAACCAATTGACCCCTAAAGAATTTTTTTTGTTTGTGTTCTTCGAATTCCACGAACCAAATGAACCCTAAAGTTTCGAGAGCACGATTTTTTTTTTTACTTTCCTCCCGTTTCTCTCCATTTCCTTTCCTTTCTTTTGTAAAAAAGGTTTCGAGAACACAACGTTAGGAGGTGATGGGTGGGAAGTAGTAAAATTTGGGAGGCTTGCTCGACCTGCCCCCAAATGCATTACACTTTTCAATTTTAATTCAGGAGCATTTTCTCTAGTAAACGTTTATCTTGTCATTTATCTTATCGAATAAATACTGTAAAGATCGAGAACGTTATCTGGTAAGAACAACAGTAAGAATCAAAAGTCTTACTCTGTAAGTTAAGGCGATAATGATGAGCGTTTATCGGATAAATTGTTGCATACGGTTCCGTTTAAATAGACTAGAATTTTACCCAGTAAGGTAAGTGAGATGTTGACTCTTATCAGATAAGCGATTAGTTCAACAACCTCTTATATAAAAACATAAAATAAATGTATATAACTATTTCATTTAATTTACATTTTTTACAATGTTTTTTCATGTGATCGATTGACTATGGTAGAAGATATAAGAGTTTGTTTGTTTACCTCTTAATAGTTTCATTAAGTGGCAACATTTGAATCATTAAGAGGTGAATCTTGTTTGACAAAAAAAGTTTACCTCTTAATGATTCTAAAACCCTCTTAATGATTTTGTATCCTAAGCCCCCCTTAACCATTAAGTACCCTGATTTTATTGTAAATAATTACCAAACAATTATATTTCATTTTGCACTATATCATGAAAGTCTCTTAATCATTCTGACCATTTAATCATTCTGCAACAAACCATTCAGCAACTGCCAAACAACCCCTAAGATTTGAATCAGCTCTTGCATTACACTTCCAACTTCGAACATCTCTACGTGCTTAACATATCCATTCGTACTGTATATTTTTTCAAGAAGTATAGATCAAAATTCTTATTTCGCTTTGTTAAACCTCGATATGGCTTATAACTTTACATCAGAAAAAAAAAAAAACCGAACATTAATATACCTTAACACATCAAATCGTACAAAAATAGGTGTGGGTCATTGTTGGATCACAGTTCGCGAAAAAGAGTTCTTACTGGAATCGAATCCTTGGTTACCAACTTAAAGTTTTCTGAAATAAGATACAAAACAAAGGTGGCGTTTGTTTTTTAAGTGGTGCTAAATTTTGAAGTCTGATTTCACTTCTGATTTATAATAGGTGATTTTGAAGTCTGAAATCTGGATCAGTAAAATTATTTGTTTTTACATCTAAAATCTGAATCGGTAAAACTAGTGCATAAATATAAAATATAAATAGTTATTTTATAAAAGTATAAAAGATAAATAGTTTTTGCTAATAAATTTCTTTCAACCCCCAAAATAAGAACCATTTGATAGAGGACGAATTAAAATTAAGAGGTATTAAGTGATACACTTACCACTTAAAATCTTAGAGGACATTTAGAGCTTTTAAGCTCTTATTTTAGAAATAAAACAAACGCTCTTAATATCCAAATGTCTGAACAAATCATACTTCGAAGATATTAAAAGGTAATTTTGAAAAAACAAACAGGTCTAAAGTTAGCTTCATTTTAGTTTCTCAAAATAAACAGTTATGAATCTTGATTCGTAAAAAATGAGAAGTTTCCATTCTAAGGTTTTCCCAAAAATAAAGCTTTTGATCTCTGATTCTCTAAATTAGAAATAAAAACAGTTGGTTCCATTTTAATACAATTTATCATAAAATAATATACCAACCTGGTTCTTTTATAAATATAAAAAAGTTGGTTCCATCTTAATGCAATATGATTAAATGTACGTATTTTATCTCTATTTCCGTTTTCTCATATCTTCCATTTTGATTGTATTGTTATCAGAAGAATAAACAAAGTTCCAAGTTACAATTATTCTTGAGTAGAAGGGTATTCATGCAATGCAGTGAAATACACATCGATTTTGATATTTTATTTTATTATTTGTTTATGTCGATGTTGTAAAACACTTTTATGTGGTTTTGAAAAAACGATAATGTTTTTATTTTTGAATAAAATATAAAATTGAAAATATCTTAAAATTTTGAAAAAAAAATGTTTAGGGATTTAATCATTCAAAATATGAAAGTCCATTGGTTTTTTTTTCCCAGGTTTTTTCCATTATTTTACCATATTAACCAGTTCTATAGGTCATAAGGATGTATGTACCAAGTTTTAGAAAGTTCAAGAAGTTATTTAACAAGTTTTGGAATGTTCAAAGACTTGTTTATTCCAAAAAATTATCCAATGACTTAATCATTCTAAACACTAAAATCCATTGGATTTTTTTAAAACTTTTCCCATTTTAAAAAACTAAAGGTGTATTCCAATGTGGGACGACAACTTCACCAATACTTCTATAGTTTTGTCTTTTTTAATTATGATTTTAATTAAAAAAAAAACTTATGTATATAGTTTTTATAATTAAAAATGCTCAATATTGTTCAAATATCTAAAAATATAAGAAATTTTTATTAAATTATATTATACATGTTATATTATAAAATTGATTATATTTTTTAAAACTAATTATATATAAAAAAAATCGAGTATCTCATGAGCTTTTCGAGTCGAGTATTGGTAGTTCGACTCGACTCCTAAATATGTCGAGTTTGAGTTTGAGGTGAACCTATTCGAGTCGAGTTTTGAACGAGTAGATCTCGAGTAGCTCGAGAATTGTCTTGTACTGTTTATACCCCTATGAACAAGAGAATGGGCTCAAGAAGGCCATTTGGCCCAAGTTAGGAGGCATTGATACTAGGAAGCCCACGAGCAAATCCAGGCCCGAAGGACTTTATCGGGTTTTTTCGTAATTTATTATCAGAATGTCAAATATCTTATCAGAAATATTTGAAATAATTAACCTAAGAAGACTATTAGGAGAGGAGAACTAAAGAAAATACCCCTCATACGAGAGACATACGATACACTTAACATGATGTTCAATAACAACGTTAAGAAAAGAACTAGTTCGCAGGAACGGACCCAGAATTTTTTTCAAACAGTGGCACCGTTTGACTATAAGAAAAAAAATATATGAATTTTTTTCAAATGGTGGCATCATTTGACTATAAGAAACAAATGTACAGAGTTTTTTTTTTTCTTTCCAAACAGTGACAACATTTGACTAAGAAAATAACAGTAACAAGATTCGAACTTGGGTTTGGGATGGAATAAAAGCCTTGCAAACCAACTCTACCAAATAAAACTTGCTATCATTGTAGTTTCAAAATGTATACGGTGACATACAACAAATTAATACAGTTGCACCTTTTACGAACCAAAAAGGGACTACGAATGCAATCACTCAAATAATAATGTTGAAAAAATAATATTAAATTTGATAAATAAAATCAACACATCATTCATTATTGCTTTATAAAGAATAATAATACTCCAGTAAACTTATAAAATGGTATAAACGAATGAAGCTGTTACTGGAGTTTGGACCTAAAACGCAACACGTTATACACATTTACGGGAATTGACGAGCGAAATGAACGATCCAGTCATCGGCTTAGTGTCACCGGATCAAGAAACATGGCTCGACTCGGAGGACTCAACCAACGATAGCAAGCAAGCTTTGTCGGACGACTGGAACCGAGCAGACCAGCGAACCAAAAATACCCGTTAAACCATATGCTATGGCACAAAACGGCAAGGCCTCAGGTTCTTTTGCCGATAACGCTGCCGTTCCCAATCCATGCGCGCTGCAATAACTTCCAAATTAGGTGCAAAACATGGGTTCGAACCACGGAAGCAACCCCGAGCCTTGGTGCACCAAGCTCGCTCTTCAATACTCTTGAGTGGTCGCTAAATGTGAACATCTTCTATATTAACGAAAACATAAAAATGGGCTTTCTATGTCTAGCCGTCACTTGACCATCTAGTAGAGTAGAATTAAGCTATACTTTTAGACGGCTTAACAAGTTCTATGAACGAGTTTGGGCAATCTAACAGGACATAAAAAATAAAACGTCTTATTAGCCTTTTTATATACTCTTGGTCCTAAAACTTAAGTCCCGTTAATTACTCTGTTAGGACGTCCAACGGCATTTGGGTTTCCTAAAAAACCCATTTTATAGTAACGCGTTATCAACTGCTACCTAAGGTTTTACAGGAAATTTATACAAAAATATCGAGAAAAACAACGATACCTAGATGCAGTTGCGATTCCTCGAGCAATAGGGTCATCGAATTGAAGTTTATCGAGCATCGCTTGTACAAAGTTCGCTCCAATAAGACCAGTCAATACAACAGCAGCAGCAGTTAGAGATGAATTGGCTCCTAAATATGAGAATTTTTAGTAAACAGATAACCGAAAGATTTAACATGATTTTTGGTTTAAAAACATGTTTAAAAACGAGCTACTAACCTTCAAAAAGCGAGACGATGCTGAGAGCAAGTGCGACAGTTATACATCTAGGTAGAATGGATATGGTTAGGGTTGGTTCTAGGCCAACAAGTCGGCCCATAAGTGCAGTCGAGTACAAAGAGAATAAAGTTGCTATGGTGATAGATGTGAAAATCTCCGCTGCATGTCGTTTAACAAGCTGCCATGATAGAAACCCCGATATCATATTAGGATAGAGCAACGTCAACCCCCCCAAAAAAAAGAAAAGAAGTTTCAAATATATTGTGAAACCATGGTTTACATATCTGTGCTCCCTCCGCCCCAAGATAAATGTCCACAATGAAAAAGGCACATAGTTTAATGTGCAAGTATTACACTTTTTAATCGACCAAACGATAATTTTACTCTTAATAATAGAGGGAGTAATGGATTTCTCCATCTAATAATTAAGGTTACATTTGGAAAGCATACACTTATTTTTTTTTAAAGCGGACAGTTATTTTGGGACAAACTAAAACTAAATGACAATTTCACCCTTAATAATAGAGAGAGTAATGGATTCCTCCATCTCATAACTAAGGGTAGAATTAGAAAGTAGGCACTTACTTTTGAAGGTAGATACTTATTTTGGGATAAACTAAAATAGAAATGTGGATACTGGACGAAGGGAGTAATAGAATGGAGATACATTTCTATTTCTAGGAAGATTAAATCAAGAATCGTGGATATAAACAATCGATAATATTGCTCCATTCAAAGATATTACTACATATTTTGTGGTGACTCCGGGCCACCTGCAAAGCAGGTGGTTGCCCTGGGATTAGTCGGCTCACAAAGCGGGTTGGGTATCTAGGTTAATCAAAAAAAGAAAGAAAATCTAAAATAAGATGACAAACATAGATTAATGTGTTACCTTTCTTTGTTTGAACATTGAGAAGGCAAAGGAGAGGATGACTGATCCCAGAAACCCCATTAAAATGTCACCAGCTCCAGGATCAGACGAGACTTTAGTAAGGTAATATCCTGCATAAATTAATTCACATATTCGAACATCAAACAGGCAAAAAGATGTTATTTGCAGATGGCAACATCAACATAAAGGGAAAGCTTAGTTGTTTTTTGTTTGAATTTTGATAAAAGAGTTAAATAGAGTGTTCATACTTTAAATAGTTAGATCCTTGACTTTGCGATGGTTGGGGAGGGGGTCATTGTGAACCTGATTTGACTGTCACAAATGCTCTTCGCACAGGGTGGTGTAGGCCGGCTCAGGGTTGCCGGTTACAAACCCTTTTGCACAAACCTTACCTGTTGGTCCAAGATTTGCTCTAAAGATGGAGGTTGGCTTGGACGACAATAGTTATGATAGATGACTTGAGATTTTAATTTCTTGCTTAAAACATAACTATGAGCTTTTTTAATGTGTCAAGTTTTCCGAAACATTTTCTAAATCTCTCAAGCTTCAGGTCTTCACGGAAACAGTCGCTCTGCCCCTAGGGGTGAAGGTACAGTCTATGTACATCTTACCCTCCCTAGACGCTACTTCCAGTTGGGATTTTTTTGGGTATGTTTGGCTTGGTTTGGTTTACCTTTAGCCCGAAATTGATGCCGACATGTGATGTTGAAAAGGTTAAGATAAGTCTATGATATTAAGAACCAATAACATTCTGGCTTTCTCCAGCCAGTAATTTCAACCTGACAGCATTACCCTTACTAAAGCAGGAATTACGATTTTACCCTTCTCTTCTCCCTCATTTCCTGCTGCATTGCCAGAAGTATTATATTTTGTAATGCATATATTTTACTTCTTGAAAATTTTGTTACAAGCATACCTAACATGGCTAGCTTATCAGCTAACAACTAACTTATTAGCCAACAACTGGCTTATCAGTTTGTCAAAGCTTATCAACTAACAACCAGCTTATTAGCAAACAACTGGCTTATCAGTTTGCCAAAGCTTACAACTAGCTTACCAGTTCAAACATAGCCTAAAAGCTTAACAGCTAACAACAGTTTGTTAGATGGTGGATGCAACAGTCTACCACATATAATCAGTTAGCAATTATGGCAACATTTGGTGCATGGAGGAAGCACATAAAACAAGAACCAAGCATGAATACGTACCGAGAATTGGATAAAGTCCAGACTTGGAAAAATATCCAAAAGCAAATGCTGCAAGGTCAGCTGATAGTGCACAACAGATGATTGGGTGAAAAACCTTCTTCAGACCAGATGGTAACCTGATGACCACAGATTATAGCCAAGAGAAACAATCAAGAAGAAACCCACAAACCATTGAACAGATTTAAGCTCAAGAAAACGAGTCTTACCCGGTACCAACCATGTAGCCTATCACTGTAGATCCTAACAAGAATGGTAAACATGTTCTAGCACTTGTTCCAAGCAAATCAGGGTACTTAAGGGCCCCAACAAATGATGCAACAAAAATCACACTCCAAGCAGCCACTTCTAGTGGAGAAAAAGGCGAAGGTTTTGCCATAGGTTCGGCAGCAATCATTTCTGTTTTTACCATTTTTCTAACAGCTATAGCCGTATATCCTGCAACAGCAAGTGAAGCTAGCCACCCTCCAACTGTATGCAACAAAGAAAAAGTGACATAAAGTTAGACATCACTAATACTTAGAGACACATGAGAGCACCTACAAGTTACGCCTACTACAGTAACAAAGAGATTAGCAACTAAGGGGTTGTTTACTACCTGCTTAACCCCTCTTACCGGGTCAGAGGCACTTACCCAGTCAGATGCTATTGTTAACCAAGCCCTGTTACTGGTCAATGATGCTGTCCGAGATGCTGGACTAGTAAGCTAAGGGAGGGACTCTCGATTACTCAGTCAATGATTAGGAGACAGACCCCTAATAGAATTTTGTTTAACACACCTAACTTAACAAATAACATAACATCCATCCTCATTTCTAGTATCACATTAACAAAATCTGGATTGAGAACCACAAGGGTGGTGCCTGATTGGTTTGAGCTTGGCTCCAAAGGTCAAAAGTACAGGAGGTCCAGCTTCAAATCCAAGGAGGAATAAAAATCCCCTTGTGGCCACGGAGGTTCAAATGCGGTGACTCTAAGCTATCTGCAAAGCAGGTGGTCGCCCTGGGATTAGTCGGCTAGCATAGCGGGTTGGATATCCAGGTTAATAAAAAAAAAAAAAAAAAAAAAAAACTCTGGATTGAGATATCCACTGACCAAGATATATGGTCATATCCATATTCATTATTCACATTCATCTGTAGTTGATACTTATATTGTACTGAAATGTGAATTTTCAAACATCCATTTATGACACCAAGTCTCTTAGGATTTAGGTAAATATAATGAAGCAAAAAAGAAAACATTGAGATACCTAAAATAAAGCAGATTTTGACCCCTGAAGCTGCTGGGATGTCTTGAATAGCAAGAGGCAAAACTACCAAGGATGGCACATAGAACAAAGGAAGCCATCTTTGAATGAACAAGAGTGCAGGTTCAAAGAAATTCATCAAACCATTAGCAGCAGCTGGAATGGTAACATCAAGAACCACAAGAACCGTGAATATACAAAACATCCCAAAAAGTGCACTTGGAAACTTAATTGCAGCAGCAACAAAAGCCTCTTTCAAGTATTTATCTGCGGCCAATATGATCCCAAGTGAAACAACCAAATGAACTATCCCCAATGCCTAAAAATATGCAAGAATTAGAAACACCCATTTAACGAAATCATCTAAAACAAAAAAAACCACAACATTAATATCGACTGAGACATTTTCACATACAGTTTGCAGTATATTGGAGGTAATGCTGCTATCTGAGCCAGCAGATTTCAACGAAACGACCCGATTAGACCGAGTTCTTCGAGTACCCGGTTGACTAAACTTGGATGAAGATCCGCGAACCGTAATTGGGGCAGAAACTTGGGTATTTCTGATGGATTTAAGAAACGTAGTTACTGGGTCTTGTTTGTGTGGATATTTTGAAGAACTGGAACATGATCCAATCGAGAATTTCCTTGAATGTTGATGGTGGTTCTTTGAGAGATAGTTCCAAGAAACAGGGAAGGCGGCAGCCATTGATAAGTTGTTGATAGATCAAGAGAGTGAAGCCGAGAAGGAGAAACATTTTGGAGCCGAGATGAGAAGAGAATCGTGTGGATGTGAGAAGATTTGATGAAGATTAAGAATGAGAGAGAATCACGTGGAATTTTTGGAAGTTGACAGGTTTGTCAATGAAGCAAAACTCAAAGAATTGCATATTTGGGTTGGGCCGACATGAATTTAGCCCAAATTACCGAACACGTGAATTTGACCCACACCCGAGTTAGACTCGGGCTGACCAGGCCGGGACCGGGATCGATCATGAGACTGGCCCGCCTAGGTCCGGAAAATTCTTTTTTACCGTTTTATAGTTTTGGCATTTTGGGTTCTAAACACTATATATAAGTGTTATGGTGAATGAGGTAAGATACCAACTTACAAAATGTAAAAAACAAAAAAACGTTCACAATTCTTGATAAATTTTGTGATTTTGGCTCGTCTTCTTAGCTCGCAAAAAACGTTCACACTTCTACTTCTCAATTCTCATTTTTTTTCTCTTCATCTTCTAAAATAGCCGATGAACAACATGGTGCATCAAACGAACTAATGTCCAAAAGCTCTCGCCAAGCACGGACGAAATTCCGAGATTTGAAATGCATACAACATGGTGATCCTCACGAATGGGGAAAAAAGACACAATGCAAAATGTGTCGAGCTCTCCTTAAGGTGGAAGGAAATTCAACTTTAAAGCAGCACATCGGAAAAACGTGCTTGAGGTTAAAGCCAGGGGGCAATTCAAGCCAACGGATACTTGACAATCAATGTCAAATATGGTCGTTTGATGTTGAGTTGAACCGACAAATGACAACACAATGTGTCATTCAAGTTGCGTTGTCGTTCAGACAATTCGACAACCTCCACATTACGAAGATGATCCAAAAACACTACAACCACGCTACAAGCCGACAAGTCGTCAAACTCTTAGACGCGATGCACTTAAAATGTGGAAATATGTCAAAATGAAATGCAATAAATGTTTTCTCTTTTGCCTAACAACGTTTCTTTAACGTATGATGTATGAAGCACACCACACGGATTGCCGGTTTATTATATATGCACAACAACACATTGGATTGAGCCGCAATCGTGACAATTATTCAAACGTGTAATCACGTTTGAACCGTTTGGTGCGCCACATTTGGGTGCATGCCAATTTTCAATTATTAAGAAAAGTCTTGTATCTTATAATTTATCTGCTAAAATAATTAGTGTTTCCTTTGATAACGCTGGTAACAATAATCTACGTGTAAAGAAATTAAAGTTGACTTTGACCCCTATTTTAGACGGTAAATTATTTCATACACGTTGTGCACACATAATAAAACACTCTAGCTCGGTTTTGATTCAGGATAGCAAACCATTACTAGCCAAAAACACTATAGTTCTAAAACTGGTTAACTACAAACCTCACAGCTATAAAAACACGTTAGCGTTAGCCATGGTTGTAGAAGCTACATCTAGCCGTTGTTCAAACACTCTAGCTCGGGTCAGACTCTAGCTTGGGTGCGGCGTTTCATTGATGCATCGCACCCACATTAATAGACGTTTCGTGTTGCTTCTTGTATACAATCTCGTGTTGTTCGACTACTACTTCAAGATGCTGCACGTTAGGAGATGCTCTGTTTGAATGGGAACCGGAAGCCGGTTCGGTGGAATGGGACCCAGAAACAGGTTCGATGGCTAGTTGACTCGGGACGTGGGCTCGCTTATTGTCAACTTTGACCTCAACTAGCTCGATTTCTTCAAACGAACGTAAAACCGGATGTAAATAGGCCTCAGATAAGTAAGATTTCATGTCGATTTCAGGTTCTGAAGCTTCATCTTGTGTGTCCTTCTCCACTGCTTCCTGCGAATAGAGACATCAAGTTCGGAACAAAACTTATGTTAGTTTTAGGAGCAAATGCATCAAAACGAAACGATTTTTTCTCAATTAATGTAACAAACTTTCAATTTTACCTAATAAACGGGTTTTCAGCCTAAGGTAGCATTTGGTACACAGACTGGATAAGACGGGACAGGACAAGACTAATTGTTTGTTCTGCTTTTGGTACGACTAGAACAGGACTGGACAAAAATGTTAAAATGACCAGATTGCCCCTAAAACGCACCCTACGTGGCATCGATTGATTTTGATGCGACATTTTTCCAATAATAAAATATTACAGTAAATATGACAACTTGACATTGACGTTATCAATAGATCTATCTGTTACCGGGCAAAATGGGTATGAAATAGAAAAGAATTGAACGTTTGTTAAACTAATCAATAATAAAACACACGGTACACTAAATAGGGATCAAAGCAAACTTCTTCGATGTTTTAAAATCTTTTGTTGTGCAAATAAGATGGATGATAAGTTACCTCGAGAGGGTATTTTCGGAAAGCAGGTTCGAAGCGGTTCTTGCAGTACTTGTGGAACGTTATTGTCAAAACCGGTAAGACAACAAGCAAAGGGGTAGAATTTACAGCCTTTTTTGTGCTAAGCAGTCCCAACAAAAGAATCTGAGATATCAACAAGCTCGCTAATATCCGAGTATGAACATGTGGCCAGAATGCAGCAGCACTCTCGTATCGTTGGTGGTACACGTTAATAACCTGCATCCGTATCCAAAAAACATAATTACAACTATACCCTTCATAACGGAAGCTGTTTCTACGTTCCAAAGCGGACAAAAGGCTTGTTTTTCATCATTTACGCTTCTTTCTTGTGTTCAGGTTTTATGGGAGAATAACCTTCAGACGGATTATTTTTAAATCCATGACCTTCTGAACGATTTACGAATGCCTCTGCCTAACAGAAGAATGCCTTCCTAACACAAGATTGCCTCAAAATCTGTTAGAAGGTCATGCATTTAAAAAACATTGTTAGAAAGAAGGTTATTCTCGTAAATAACTCCTTATGTTTTTTTCTTTATAGGGACAAAAACGACAATCAACACCTGCACGATATATTAAACGAGCAAGATTGATTTACCTGGTGACGATAAACGAAGTATGCAAACGCAAAGAAGATGAGTATAAAAGGAAGAAGGATGGGGGTAACTACAGCATACACGGCGCCCATGAGGAAGTATAGTTGAAGAGAAGGAATAGCCTCCGGGAAATCTATGCTCTTGGGATTCATTGCTTTTTGTCGATCTCTTTCGGTTTTTACAATCAACATGTTCTTGATATGAAACATGATCAAAGGCTTCAACCGGAGAATCTCTCCGGCCATGCCCGCCCACCCGTCAACCATTATATACGTGATGAAGAAAGTAGCCTTCATTGGGATCGATACCCCAATGGTCCTCGGAATCCTGTAAAAAACATAAATATCCATGAAATCATTAGGCTTCATGTGCACTACAAATAGGGCAAAATGCATCAAAAATGCAACAAAGTTTGTTTTACTTCCTACTTGGTGTAATCAAGATTCTTTTTCTTTATTAACCTGGATATCCAACCCGCTATGCGAGCCAACCAATCCCAGGGCGACCACCGGCTTTGCAGATAGCCCAGAGTCACCGCATTTGAACCTCTGTGGCCACAAGAGGATTTTTATTCCTCCTTGGATTTGAACCTGGGACCTCCAGGTACTTTTGACCTTTGGAGCCAAGCTCAAACCAATCACACCACCCTTGTGGTTGTAATCAAGATTCTTTTCTCAACAAATGTAACAAAGTTTAAAATTTTCCTATTTTGTACCCATTTTGACGAGTAACCTGCTGATCTTGTAACACTTAATGACGTGTATACCCGTTTTACAAAAGGGTTACAGCGAAGTGGACGATAAACTTGACACCCACGTCATCAAAATGTTACAAAATAGCAGGTAATGGGTCAAAGTGGGTAAAAAATAAGTGAATTTGGAACTTCGTTTACATTGATTTAGAAAAAGAGAATCTTTATTGCACTAAATAGGAACTACGACAAATTTCGTTGCATTTCGATGCATTTAACCTTACAAACAACCTTCCGATCACAAATGAGTAACATCATCCATTGCTCGAAGGCTCGCTTTAAGGAATATTGTTCAAAGAGAAAAGAAACATTACTGGGTGGGTGATTGGTGAAGGAAAGAATCGAGCTGCTCAAATGCAGTTCCGGTTACGATACTCCCTAAGAAAACATTCACGAGCATGAAAAAGTAGTATTTTCCTGCTGTCCGTCTTTCCAATACGGAAAACGCAACGTGACCCTCGAGTTTTGACATAGTCATAAGAAGACCGGGAAGAAGCCATAGAAAAATCTTTAGAGCAAGACCCGGAAGAAAACCCTGAAGAAAAGACTTGATAAATTTCCTGCACACATTCAAAGATATCAAAACCAAAATTAAGATTAACCAACTACTACTCCCTATGTCTTGTGAAAATTGTAACATTTCCTTTTTTGGAAAGTTTTCATGTTAAAAATTACATATTTGCCCATCATAATCATCACAAGACTCTTTTATCTTGTGTGTATCGAAGGGTATTTTTGGATATTTTCGAAATAGTCAAAAGCTCTCAAACTATGTGTGATGTTAAATGTTGCAACTTCTCTTTTTATAACCGTGGTGTCCAAGTCAGCTTGCCTGCACCTCGACTAATCCCATCGGCCCTAAAGCTGATAGCGGAACAAACCCACAAAGATAATTGACTCATAACTGACTTTCAAACGAGTCTTTGAAGTTTTAAAAGCGATGGCATCCAAATCTGATTCTTTCAGTAATGTTGCAATTTCCATGGGAGGAACGAGAATACGATTAAAAAACTTGCAGAAAAATGAAGAGATCGCTTACAATTCAATAACGGGCCTGAGGAAAGGGACGACCTTTTCAAGACCGTCAAGATTGGCGAGCGATTGAACAAATGCGATGGGTATGATGTAGAAGAACACTAGAGCAAAGACTGCTAACGATATAACTAGTCTACGGATGCTTAAAGAAACAAAGGGTATGGCAAGATTTTTCCAGTAAATATCTCGAGGTTCAGGGGCCCACTCTGTCAACCATAGAATCGGGTTTTTGCTTTGCTGTGTCTGAGCACACACGGCCGCACCCCACCGAGAGTTGAATGATACAAATGCAGCTGGCATGATGCATTTTGGGTCTTTGAAAATTCTCTGGCGCTCCATCATTAACTACTATTTCGAGAAGAAAAATAAAACAAATGAGGAAAATGAAATACTTCATACATTCTTGAATTTGACCAGGGTATAAATCCAAACCGACAAACCGAAAAGAACCAGATTCGCTTTGAAGATAAGCTGGTTCAGTCTAGTTTCGAAATAATGTAAGTTTGTGGTTCACGGCTGTCGAGCCTAAACAAAATTGCATGAAAATGCAACATACTTTGGTCCGACTCCTATTTTGTGTACCGTACTATCAAAACCTTCATTTTGGTACCTCTGATATGACATCTATAACATTCAGGTACGTAGTTTATATCTGAGAATGCATGAAACTTTTATCTAATTCCTATTTTGTTTAACTTAGTTTGGTCTAAATGTTTAAGATATCACATCTGAGATATCAAAATGAAGGTTTCCAAAGTACGTTACAAGAAATAGGAATCAGAGCAAAGTACATAGCATTTTCATGCAATTTACCTAACGGAAAACAAGTCATGGCTTTTTGTAATGCTATAGCTTATTCATGGATGGGTTACGAGTCTAAATGAATTCATCTTTAGATAATCATTAATCTAATAAAATAATTTTTTTATTAACCTGGATATCCAACCCGCTATGCGAGCCAACTACTCCCAAGGCGACCACCTGCTTTTGCAGATAGCCCGGAGTCACCGCATTTGAACCTCCGTGGCCACAAGGGGATTTTTATTCCTCCTTGGATTTGAACCTGGGACCTCCTGCTACTTTTGACCTTTGGAGCCAAGCTCAAACCAATCATGCACCACCCTTGTGGTTAAAATAATTTAATTTTACTTCCAAGAAAACAAAAAATCGAACTTGGCCCGCTTCACCTTTGTTTCTGAGGCTTCGAAGCCATAGTTCAGTTCAGTTCACGGAACCAAGTAGCACTTTTATTTTGTGGTTCAGATGAAACTAAGAATTCTACTTATGACTTTCTAAATTTAGAATTTGTTTGGGTTTGATTTCAAATTAAACACAAGACTGCAAAAAAAGGGATTTTTTTGTACTTCTATGTGCTATAAACCCCAAATGTTCAAATAGACCAAATCAAGATTTAAGTGAATTAAGCCCATTTGAGCTCAAAAGTCAAACTCTATTACCGTTTTTCGGGAATGAATGGAGCTGATAGAACACTAAACAGATTAGCAACCACTCACCTTTTCGTCGAGCTCTTTAATCTGTTGTTGATAGTATTCAATGGAATCTACTTCTTTGCCCCAAAGTCCAAGGAAGCCCGTCTGAGAGTTCAAATATTTGGTGTGTAAAAAATTGCAATGTTTTACAGCTTATCAAGAGGTTATAAACAATTATATTCGAAATTTCCAAAGTTTCTGGTGCATAAGAGCTACCTTTTTTGTTGGTCGTTTGTGCGGACGTCTTTCAAACTTAAGATGATTGTAGTCTAACCGATTTTGCAGCTTTTGTCTTTTTCTTACCGCTCTTGCAAACTTGTTTGCATTGTAGACGGACTGAATCAAAGTGAAAAATGGTATCATGGTTACGTAAAAGCTATATAATGTTACATATACGGCATGTGTGTTTGAATAAATGCATGCATATGTGTATGTGTATGTGTATGTGTATATACATACGCATGTAGGGTTGGGTCCATTTGAGAACCATAAATAATTTGAGAACTGAGAAAACAATGGATATTCAAAATGAATATCTATGATATTCATTATGAATATCCATGTAAACATTGGTTGCTCGGTTCTGAAAATATTTATGGTCTCAAATGAATTTTCCTATATGTATGTATGCATATACGTATATTATCTTCAACTACTGAATCAGGAAGTCGTATATTTGACTTCCAATTGCATAAATCTAAAGGCTAAACGGTAAATTCATGTTAAAAAATGCATTATATTACCTCGTGACAAAGATATTGATTCGAGTGATTTTTTTTAAAGAAGAAATCCACAGTATCCGAAATAGAACGGTCAGGCACATGGGGTACATTTCTAACCAAGACCTGCAAAAACAAGAAAGTCAAAGATGAGAAAATTTAGATCTTTTAGGGTGCGTTTGGTACGCAGACAGGACAACTCCAAAGTTCAAAAACAACTAATTTGTCGGTAGACATCCTTGTAGAATAAAGTAAGCATACACATACCGTAAATTGCTCGGCTCGCCTACTTTTTGAAGCCAAAAAGTTCAATCTCATTAATGCTACCACATCGTACTCCTTGTAGAGCATGTAGCATGTCCAAAATGTGAACAAATACATCATCGATATGTGCGCAAAAAATCTGAAAATCAAAATATGTGAGCTATGAAGCCCTGATATAATTTCTACTTATAAATTGTAATTCCCTTTAATAAGTAGGTGGTCTTGAGGAAAAAAAACTCAAACCAATAAAAAATGGAGTTATTTATCAAGTGATTTGACAAGTTTGTCCCTTTCAAAACAACGTAATGTCGGAAGATTTTAGAGTTTCACGGGAAAGCGGACTCAATAGGCAAAAGGTGAAAACCCTTAGGGGTAGCTCAACTGCTAAGACCTTGGGATTGCACCATAGTGGTTCACTAGTTCGAGTCCACTAAGGTAGAGTTTGGTATGCAGACATGATTGGACAGGACTGAACAAGACAGAACAGGACAAGAGGGTAGGACTGGACGGGACAGAACAGGACAAGAGGGTAGGACTGGACGGGACAGAACAAGTGTATGTCTAGTGTTTGATACGACTACGACTGAATGGGACAGAACTAGACTAGTTACCCCCAAAAGTTATTTGATGATTTTAAATATTATATGATAGTTATACTTAACACAAATAAGGTAAATAATTTAAGAATTTAATTTATCAATATTTTTACACAATTTTCATATAAATGAATACATATATATATATATATAGGTACCAAATTTGAATGAAAAATTTGATATAATTGATGGCAGTAGTAGTGGTGGTGGAGGTGGTTCTGGTTATGGTGGAGGTGATGGCGGCCAACGGTAGTAGTGGCGATGGGCGGTGGTGGTCGGTGGCCGACGGTGGTTATGGAGCTAGAGGCAGTGGTGGTTGGTGGACGTGAAGATGGTGGATTGTGGTGGTGGTGGCGGTGGCGGTTGACAACGGTGGAGGAGGTAGTTGTGGCTGATGTAGTGAAGATACTGGTGGTGGTGGTGGTTATGGTGGAGGTGAGGTGGCAATGAACGATGGTCGTCGATGGTCGACGGTGGTTGTGGAGGTTGTATAGTAGGTTGTAGTAGAGGAGGAGGTGCAGGTGGCCAATGGTGGTAGTGTTGGTGGAAATGGGTGGTGGTGGTCGATGGCTGATGGTGGTTGTAAAGGTGGCAATGGACGGTGGTAGTCGGTGGTCGACGGTGGTTGTGGAGGTGGTTGTAGTAGAGGAGGGTTTGGAGATGGCGAACGGCGTTAGTGGTGGCGGCAAAGACGGTGGTGGTTGGTGGTCGACTACGGTAGATGTGGCGATGGACGATGGTGGACGGTGGTTGTGGAGGCGGTGGAGGATGTTGTTGTAGTGGAAGAGGAGGTGGAGGGCCCGCCAGTAGTGGAGGGCCCGCCAGTAGTGGTGGCGGTGGCTGAAACTAGCGGTGATGACCATTAAAACAAATACCATATTAAGATTATACATCAAACTAGGGTAGATTAGTAATATTTTAGTTTATGTCTCATTCTTGTCCCATCTTGTTCAACCTATTTTGGTGGAACAAGAAAAACCCTCTTTTGTCTCAAGTTGTCCCACCTTGTTCCAATTCTTGTCCTTGTCCTATGTCGCGCCAAACGTGGGACGGTGAGTTCTTGTTCTGTCACATGTTGTGCCAAATATGGGACAGTGAGTTTTGTCCCGTCCCATGTACCAGACGCAGCCTAAAGAGGCAAAAGGTGATAGGAACATAAGGTAAAGTGGCCAAATAAAGAACTCAACGCATAAAGTTATGTTAGGGGCCAAAATTCTTGAATTGGGACAACGCTTCTTCATAAAATAATGAAGAACATAACTTACTTTGGAGATTTAGGTTGAACATTTGATATCGAAAGCTTATCGATGTCGCTGATGACCAAATCTTTGCTGAGGAAAAACAGCAGCCCACCCGTTACATTAACCGGAATAAGAACCAAGAATGCCACAATAGCGGCCGGCCCGAAAATTTTTATGCTGCAAGTTTACAAACGATGATGCTTAAGTAATCAAAAGAAAACAAGAAACGGTCAAACGGAAAATGAACATAAGAGGCATGTCATTTGAAGGTTTCCGAGTAAAGAGAACTTAATGGTCGTGCTCCTAATTGAAAACTCATTTAAAGTCATTTAACTAAATTACTCGACAATTGTACAAATCAATTGTTGTAGTCTAAAGGTAGATCGAGAGCTAATGACAATGAAGCAATATGTGCTTCATTACATGAAGTACTCGAAGTGTCCCAGAAAAACTGTTTCTGGGACGGTTTCCGCTTATTCCACTTTTTAATTAACTAAATGACAATTTTACCCCTTAATAATATAGAGAGTAGTGAATTTATTCATCTCATAAGTAAGGATAGAATTGGAAAGTAGAGACTTACTTTGAAAGTGGACACTTATTTTGGGACAAATGAATATAGAGAACATAAACACTTGTTTTTGGATATTTTTACGTAGTCAACGTTGTGCAAGTAATCGATGGTATTAATTTTGTTTCCACATGATTCGTCATATTCTATCACTGTCGAAGGTATTTTAGACATAAACAGTTTAAGTGAAGTGTAGAGTCGAACGATGTCTGACCAATTCAGCTCAAGTTATGAATAATCTCCAAATCCAATTCAGAAGTACCCAAGATTTCAAGATAATATCACAAGTTTCTACACAAATCCAGAATTAATTTATGAATTATTTCACCAATTCAACAAAAACCCATCAAATTGAAACAGCACAAGTACTCAAATCTCCCAAAAAAGAGAAAAAAACAAGTTCCAAATTTCAAAAGATTCAACAAATTCACAACTAACAAATGAGATTTCACTTATATAAGCTCAATTTATGGATCAGTTTCACCAAGGGGTTGTTTACCAAAACATACCCGATAAGTGTTTACCGGTAAAATTCAACACCATTACTTGCTTACCGGGTAAGATTTTAGTCCAAAAAAACAGCACCGATGCAATAGTTTATCCGATAAGCTCTTACCGGGTAAGACTCTTGTTCCTTGTTTTGCTCTTGCCGAGAAAGAGTTTTGGTCCTTGTCATCATATTATCCGATAAGGTAATGTGACTTGGTAAACGTTTACCCGGGTAAGTGTTTGGTAAACGACCCCCAAATCTAACAAAAACCCATATAAAAAAGGTTCAAAACTATCCAAGTTTCCAGTAAAAAACAACAGTAAGAATCCCAAATTCCATAAGCTTTTCAAGAAATCTGCATAATCAATCTCAACTCATCAACATTTAGAAAGAAATGTAGAATCATCCAAGATTTCAAGAAAACACCAAGAAAAACCTCAAATATCACAAAGCTTCTTAACTAAAAATCACTAAAGACATCGACCAACGAAGCTAAAATCGTACAGAATATGATGAATAAACAAAACCCCAGATGAAAGAAGCGTAGAAGCATCCAAGATTTCAAGAAAACATCAATGAAAACCTCAAATTCCAGAAGCTTCTTAACTAAAAACAATGACCAACGAAGCTGAAATCGTATAGAATATGACGAATAAACAAAACCCCAGATGAAAGAAATGTAGAAGCATCCAAGATTTCAAGAAAACATCAATGAAAACCTCAAATTCCAGAAGCTTCTTAACTTAAAAACAATGACCAACGAAGCTGAAATCGTACAGACTAAGGAAGGAAGAATTAAGAGTACCCAAGAACGTAAATCCTCAAGAAAGCAGCAGAATCAAGGCCAGCATGATCGATAATCTCAGGCTCCTTCATACGTAAAGCTTGAGGCATCCAGTTAAGGAAAGTAAGATAAGTCTTGTAATTAAGATTGACGAACTTAGCGACGAGATTTGCAGTGTGTGTAGGACTGGTTCTTGCCCCAACAAGATACCATTTGGGGAAATAAACTCTGTCATTAATGGGTTGGATTCTGAGAAGAGCAAAAGCTAGTAAGAAGACGAAGGCGCTGATTATGTTAAGAAGTGCTGAAACCCCAATATCTCGAAGACTAGCCATGAAAATGGATTTGAAAGAGATTAGGGGAAAGAGGGTGACACAAAAAGGTGGCTGGTGGCTGGTGGTGGTGGAGGACCGTGGATGGGAATGCAGACCAGAAAGGTGGCTGGTGGTGGTGGAGGACGGTGGATGGGAATGCAGACCAGAAAGGTGGCTGGTGGTGGTGGAGGACGGTGGATGGGAATGCAGACCAGAAAGGTGGCTGGTGGTGGTGGAGGACGGTGGATGGGAATGCACTAGCAGACCAAAAAGGTGGCTTATATTTCACACTTACAGAGTGTCTTAATGGAAAACAATTTTGTGTGAACAAGAGGCAAAGAACATCGTACTAACTTTTTTATTGAATTTGCTTAAGGGGAGTGCTAACGGCGCCTCTTTTGATGTCATAATCTGGTCATTCAAGCATTGGGAATGTAAAAAGCATGTATTGATTTTGATGTGTGTGAAGAAAAAATTCATGAATAAGGATGCATTAAGCAATGTATAGGGATGCATTTAGCCCATCCTGTTTAATCAAGTTTTTGGACATTTTATTAAATTATTGAATTTTTCAAAATGGATGTTGATATTATTTGTACTACCTTGTAAATCAGATTTATAAAAAGTCTTGAAAACAATTTTTAATCCATAAAGTATTATATATTTATAGACAAAGTCTTAAAAGTATTAAAAACAACTTATAATGTATTAAGTACTACTACTTTATGTATTCAGTCTTAAAATATCTTAATCTACAATTAAAATAACATATAGTGCAAGTTACCAATTCACATTATTATCTTTTCTTTTCATGTTCCCAAAATACTTTTGACACATTTCACTCATGTCTTCACCCTCTCATATCTCTATGTCTTCTCCCCATCCCCAAGGTGAGATTTAAACTGATATTTACCATGAGTTATTAAAAGTTTTATCATTCAATTGCTCTAGAACTCTTGGTCTCGCTCTCGATCTCTTGATTCTTTGCTCTTGGTGTAAATTGAACATATTTGTGGAGACGTTTAAATATGTTGAGTTTTAAATATATTGGATTTTAAGTTGTCACATAATTTTTTTTCATCGATAGACTGTAATTAGAACCATAACTTTTATTTATTCAAATTGTATTAATATGTAAAGACCAAGTATAACTTATATCATCGTTAAATCTTCTCTAATAAAATCAGTGAAACTTCAAAATCGTTAAAATTCACGGCTCTCGCCGCATTGCGCGGGTACACAACTAGTTTTAGTTTTAAAAAGCTATTTGTAACTACAAGGATGATGTCTGATTGGTTTGAGTTCAGACTCTAAAGGTTAAAGGTGTTTGGAGATCTTAGGTTCAAATCTAAGAAAGAATAAAAATATTATGGCCACGGAGGTTCAAATGTGGTGACTTCGGGTTACCCACAAAGTAGGTGGTCGTCCTAAGATTAGTCGGCTCGCATAGTGGGTTGGATATTCAGGTTAATAAAAAAAAAGTTTTTGTAAACTAAGAAAACATAAATCAATTTATCATTTTCAAACGTTATGTCATTCAAACCCTTTGCATATCTAACGACATCTTTCCTACTCATCACTCCATCGTCGTTTGTTCTCCATACCATCAATTGCTATCGTTGGCCCCTGTCATTGATATCTCTCCATCGTCGTTTGTTCTCCAATAATAGTCTTTCGATTCTCCACTTTTACAATAATTTATAAGATAATGGCATGGAAATTGACGCAGCTCATCGACTTTCTATAGTAAAAGCGAGCTAGAACTATAACATTTGGACATATATTGTTAATAATTTTATAAAAGAATATTTTAACGTCTCAGAGCATCTTCCTTCTACTATGGATTTAGAGTACGTATAGATGGATTGAAAAAGAGGGAGAATCGGAAAACAGAAAATCAATTGAAAAGAAAAAAAAAATGATGACATGAGCCAATGGTGGTGGTGAGAGCATACAATAACTGTTCTCCTTTTGAGTCCTTGAGTTAAATGACCATTTTCTCTATTCAAATTGGTTTTTTAACCATTTCTCGTCTGGATTGATCCAAATGTCACTACTTCTTGCAGACCTAGCTTAACGCCAAAAAAAAATCAAATTCAACACAGATATGCAATTGAGATGGCCAGGTTCGTATTGCGACGGCTAGGTCCGCAATTACGACCGTAAACTGGTTGAATTTGATTTTTTTTTGTCTTTTAGCTAGATCCGCAATGTTACGGACCTGAATATTGCGGATGTAGTGAAATTTGGGTCAAATCTAGAGAGAAATGGTTAAAAAACCAATTTAGATGATTTAAGCTAATTTCTCTTTTATTTTTAATTCTACCTCTAATACGAATTGAACAAAATTCTTTTTTGTTTAATTAAATTAAAATTTGTAATAACTATAAGGGTCTGTTTGGCTCATGCTGAGAAATGAAAATGACAGAGAATGAGAATAAATGAATTTTCATCCCCCAGTTTAACCAAGAATGAAATTTTGAGCTTATGTGGGAATGAGCCTATTGTCTATACTACCTCATAAAACAGATTTAGAAAAAATCTTGAAAATAATTTATAATGCATAAAGTACTATAAATTTATGTACAAAGTCTTAATCACAACTCATAATGCATTAAGTATTGTTTTATACAGTTAATCTTGAAATCTCTTGATTACAACGTTACAACCTTGATGTACAAGTTCTCAATCCTCAAAATTTAACTTCCCAATACCAACACTTACCTTTGGCATCTCCGATGCAAGGTTCTTCTAAGTTAAAAAGTGTAAAGTTTTATAAGAACTATCATTGTGGAGAGGTTCTTATAAGAACCTAACATGTCATTGCTGTTTGAACAAGAACTTTGGTTCTTACCATGATTTTTGTGAGAAATGACATTTTAGTTATACTTTATTTTATTTCTTTGACTTTATATTAACTTATTTAATTTGGCATCTCCGATGCAAGGTTCTTCTAAGTTAAAAAGTGCAAAGTTTTATAAGAACTATCATTGTGGAGAGGTTCTTATAAGAACCTAACATGTCATTACTGTTTGAACAAGAACTTTGGTTCTTACCATGATTTTTGTGAGAAATGACATTTTAGTTATATTTTATTTTATTTCTTTGACTTTATATTAACTTATTTAATTATTACAATATAACTTATTTAATATATATATATATATATATATATATATTAATCTATTTTTTTTGGTCTATATACATATATAGAATATTATATATAAATTATATAATTATTAGAACCAATTATTCCCAAAAAAAATTCTCATAAAAACCACCATTGTGGAATTCTTGGTAAATTCTTAATTTGATGAGGTGGACTTGAGGTGACAATAAAACTGACACTCTGCATAATAAGGCAAAGGTTTAATCTGCTTACATCCCCAACCAAATTTGCTAGGGTTAGAATTAAAAGTTTCTACTTTTTATTTCTATCTTTAGTTATAAAATAAAAAAATAATTACTACTTTACTTATCGTTAAAAATAAAATTGTTATTTAATTAATTAAGAAATATAATAATTATAATTTTTGAAACCGTGTATATTTCCCATTTATAAATATTTATTTTGGAAAGAAAAGAAATATCAAACAAGTATACTAAAGGCATAAACGACTGGCACTGAATTAGATGCAAAAGAATCCAGAGCTACTGCTTCAACAATCAACTGAGCTTAAGAAGTCGGCTTAAGCATAGCCTTTCCAGCAGGGACATAGGCTTGTGCATAGTTTACTGCTCCTTAATGCTATAGAAAGTAGATATGTGATCACACAAAGGATTAGTCGATGTTATTTTGATTTTGTTTAACGATCATTGTTACGCTCATTCATCATTTGCATCATAATACATCTTCATTTTCATTATCCACCTTAACCTCTCCACCATCATCGACAACGACCTTCAACAGTATATCAATGAATGAGATTAGTTACAAAGTTCTCGTCAATGGTTGTGGATCTTGAATGCTGTTGGTAGGGAACCAAGTCATATAACACATAACCCAAGCATACAGCAGTATAAAATCGTGATTATGTTTTAAATCAGTGTGAAGAATTAATACATATAAAGTAAGTTTATGACTTTAGTATTGAAGCGTTCAGTCATGAATCATACTCGAGCTTTAGATGAATTCATGAGCAAAAACAAGGGGGTTTGCTTATACTGGTATCTACTCATAAAACCCCTTTTACTCGGGGTAGGGTTTGGCTTGTTAAGAGAAGTTGTGCATTTCTAACATTGTGAGTATCCAAATCACTTTATCCTCGATATTTTGATCAAACACAATTCATGGAATACATCACATTTATACACTATAAAACAAATAAGGAATGATTACATAAGGAAACCTATTTTTTTTTTTTTGATTAACCAGGATATCCAATGCATTATGCGAGCCGATTAATCCCAGAGGGACCACCTGCATTGCAGATAGCCCAGAGTCACCGCATTTGAACCTCCGTGGCCACAAGAGGATTTCTATTCCTCCTTGGATTTGAACCTAGGACCTCCGGGTACTTTTGACCTTTGGAGCCAAGCTCAACCCAGAAGGCAGCTAAAATAGAATCAGAAGCAATAACAGCATATATTACCATTCCCATATGTAAATGCATCAAATCTGTTGATCCTGCGGATTTACTCACCAGGCCGAAATGAAAACGCTCACAATAGTAAACTCAAAAGCCAACAACTAGTTGTATATATATATATATATATATATATATATATATATATATATATTAAAAACAAAATATCAAGTTTGTAAGGAACTAAACCAAGAGAATGTGATGAATGAAAGAACACAATCTTTGACATATAAAATCAAAACAGTGGTGTTTGAAACAAGTTATCAACCAAACAGGACATAAAACATAATGATTTACCTTAGATCGTCCATTTAGAGGTTGGAAACTCGACTCCTATTCTTGCTGCTTTGTTCCATTCGAGGTTGGAAAGTTCACGGCGATGACGGTGTTTGGTGGTGGAGTAAAACACATCATCCAGCGGTGTATGCGTGGGTAAACAACTTACTGCTTATACTTTTGATTCACATACTCGTTTAAATGCAGAAATTATAGACGTTTATCGAGCCATCGGGAGTTTGGCATATATGGTTGGCAAGAAATGAACTAATCTTCAACCATAGATACCAAAGATCGTGTATTCAAGTCGTTTCAAAGCTTTTTTTATATGGTTTTGTAGCACTATATTATACTTTTGGTTCACATACTCATTTAAATTAAACAAATGAATGTAACATTGCTTCTAATAGCAGCATAAAAAACCTAACAGAAAAAGCTCTCATAGACTTACCTTGTGATGAAGATATATGTGGATCAGAGGATAAAGAGATCATCAATGGGTCTGCACTGCTCACATATAACCTCTAAAATAGTGTTGATATCAGTGCCAAACTGATGTATTATATTCTCTGCAGTAAACTCATGAACAAGCCCATTGATCTCAATCCAACTACAACCAGGCTGTTTCTTAATCTTTTGAGTTCTCATCATCTTTCTTGTCTTTAATGCATCTTCCCACTTGTTGGTTAACCGATATACGTTCCAAAGAAGTACATACACTCCATCATCATAAGGTTCTAACCCAAGTACTCTCTTTGCTGCCATTTCTGCTAACCGTAGATCTCTCTTTATCATACAACCACTCAGAACCGACCTCCAAATGACCGCATCTGGTTCCAAAGGCATCATTTCGATCAACTCCAGTGCTTCGTCTAGATGCCCTGCCCTGCAGAGAAGATCCACCATACAACCGTAGTGTTTGATTGTCGGTTTGAGACCATATTGATGAACCATAATGTCAAATAATGACTGCCCTTCTTTGATTAGTCCTTCATGACCGCAAGCGGATAGCACCGACAGGAATGTGATTTCGTTTGGGATCAGCCCACTCGACACCATATTGCCAAACACTATGACTGTGGATCTTCCTTCACCGTGAAGAGCCAATCCTGAAATCATGCTGGTCCAAGAAAAGACGTCCTTTTGAGGCATTTCAGAAAATACCTTTTTGGCGAATTCAAGGCTTCCCCCTTTGGCATACAGATCTATCAAAGCATTGTTTACTGAAACATCGGTAACAAGACTAGGTATCTTATTAATGTATCCATGTAATGATCCACCGAAATCGAGAGCACCGACATCAGCACAACCAGAAAGAACAGAAACTATTGTGATCGAAGTAGGACTATCGTAATCACCACCTCCACCTTCGGTTCTCATCTCCTGAAACAGTTTTAACCCACTGATAACATTCTTGTTACGAACATATCCCACAATCATAGCTGTCCAAGAAATAACGTTTCTAACAGGCATTTCATCAAACAATTGCCCGGCAGAGACAATATCACCACACATAATATATCCATTAACCAAACTCGTCCAAGAAGCAACATCCTTTGCAACCATTAAGTCGAACACTCTCCTGGCCAAATCTATTCGTCCATTTCGACTGTATAAATCGATCAAAGCATTAGAAATAATAGGTCCTTCACCACCCAATTCATATCTCAACACCATCGCATGAACTATCCTCCCTACCACCAAGTTCTTAGCAGACCCACAAGCCGAAAGTGCTGCAACTATGCAATGCCCATCTGGGTTCAACCCCATTGACACGATCATATCAGAAAATAAAGAGAGCGTTTTCAAGGGCTGTTGGACTTGGGTGTGCAAGTAGAGAGACATGAGACAAGTCCATGAAACTATATCTGGATTTAGAATCTGATCAAAGATTCTATGTGCTTTGATTGGATTGTTCAGTTTTCTGGCATATATATTGAGTAGCTTACACGCGAAGTCTTGGTGAGTGCGAAAGAGACCTTGGGTTATAGCCTGAGCATGGATTTGGGCAATTAGATTCTCTTTTTTGCTACATCTATCTAATAAAAATCTCAGAGTTGACAAACAAGGGCTCATAATAACTAGTGCTCTGCTCCACCTCCCATCATTCGACTGTTTGGATCTTCTCTACCAAACTTTAGCCATCAACAGAACATGTAAACAGGTGCGGAGCCAGGATTTGGCACGAGGGGAGTACCGAACACAGATAAATAAAATAAATATTAATGTTTTGAAAAGGGCTAAAACGACCATTGCTATATTGGAAGTTACCACAATGCAGTAACTAAAGATGCAATGAATCAATTGATCAATGCAGATGCAGCAGATGCTTAGATGCAAGACAAAGTTAAGATGCGGTTGAGAGTTTTGTTAATCAAACTACAAAACCGTAAACCAAAGCAGGGAGCCTAATGCAGCAAGAAGAACTCAACAATTAATTACATATGCATAACATGGTTGGATAAATGGGATTATTAGGATGCTTTGCAAACCACGTGGCATCTGAACAATCATAGCATAGTAAATCGAATTAAATTGGTGGAAACAACAAAATCAAAGTTGTAAAGTCCCAAATGATTAATCTTCAAACAAAGTAGCAAAATCCATTGACTAATTCTCAAATGAAATGTTTTGAAATTTGAAATTGAAACCCTAACCTGATAAGAAAGTAGGAGAGCAACTGAACGAGAGCAGAGAGGGGAGCCCCGAGCCCGGAGCCAGGGGTGGAGAGGAGGAACAGCGACTCAACAAGCCAAACGCCTGTCGTCTGAGACTTGCAAGCCGATGAAGAGTAGCGAGTCCACAAGGAGGAGCAAAGTCAATTAATCAAATCGATGATTGAGTTTGGGACTGTATTAAGATGATGGAGCAGGTCTTCTCATGGCTTTAGTTTCAGAAGTATATAATCTCCATAACCACATTCAAACTTTGGGGAACGTGAACGAGCTTAATCTTTCGAGAAAGAAATACTCCAAAAGGGGGTTTTGGTTTCGATGGAATCCGTAGGAATCTGATACAATTGGAAGGTCAATTGTGATAACCAAATTGAATTCCAAACGTTTGGATACCAGGAATGAAATTGAATTCCAAACATTCTTTCATTTGAGGATATCATTATTCCTTTCTAAAACTAATAGAATTGAAATCCATTTCATCTAAAAATGTACAAATGACAAAAATACTCTCATCAATAATTGAAATTCATTCCTAAAACTGATGCTCGGCCTCCAAACTCTCGATTAAAAAACGGATGCTTATGATGCTTGCTCTCCAAACTATTGATTAAAAATCAAACTCAAAGGATCATATTGGTATTGAATATGAGAACCAAAAGGATCACAACTCAAATACGCGCATATATTGGGTCGAGTTTGATGTTTGACTCCTCGGTTAAAGCCTACTACATATCGGGAATACGAACATGCAGGAAGAGTTTTTCTAATAAATCATAGACGTTATATTATAATGTTGGTAGATATGTTTAGGAGTGTAAACAAGTCGAACTTTTAACAAGCTACTCGAATTTAATAATTATCGAGCTCGAGTCGATCTCGAACACAAAACAAAGATCGGTTAACAACGTGTCAAGCTTCATAACACCAATATTCCACTCGACTGGTTCGAAAGTTCAGTTAAACTTTACAAATCGAATAAAGCGGAACGGAACCATTCAAGCATACACTTTTTTGAAAGTTTAGCAAAAATTAAGAAAACGCCATCCGTGGGACTCGAACCCACGACCACGTGGTTAAAAGCCACGCGCTCTACCAACTGAGCTAGAACGGCTTCACGTTAATTGTTTCAAACAATAATTTCAAGAACATTTCAATTCTCCGAAATTGAGATTTTTTGTAAAACCCCACATAAAAACATTGCATATAACACACTTCATTCAAGAAAATACATGTATTACTATACTTAGGTCTCATAGTACAAGAAATTAATATACAAAGTACACAATCCAAAAATTCCAAAATACATGTTCTTGTACTACATAATATATATCTTCAAAATTATACACTTCAATAAGCTGATCTTCATATAGTTATGCACATATGAAATAATTACATTTTTCCCTTCCTTTTACTATCATGTAACACAGTTGTTCCTGCAATATATATTATGAATGGCTACAACAAATGGCAACAGTTAGTCATTTAAAACAACTAATAAGGACGTTTCTTATTATGTACCAAAAGGAGATGGTTTCAATCATGCGAAAAACCATTTTCTCAAAGATTAAGGGTCAATTTATCAAAAACTTATGGGATAAATGCTTACCAGCAAAAGTCATCATCCATCTTCACTTACCTTATTGGATAATATCCTTAATTGGCAATCAAAATGGATTGTCGTAAGCGTATTATTGATCACAAGGTAAGTGTTTGCCAGGTAATACTCTCGATCCTTATTTTACATCTTATTGGCTAAGATTTTTGGTCCCTGTTATGCTCATCCGGTAAAGTTATTGACGTGGTAATTAAGTGGTTACCCAAGCGTTTGGTAAACGTCCTAGTTTATGCATGACGAAACTTGAAGTCCATCAAAAATTAGAGTTCATATGAAATAGAGATTGTGGTACGAAAGGTGCAACATCGAGCACCAAATCCATTTCTAAACCATCGTCGTTGTTGTTGCTATCAGGACCAATTTCATGTTCGGAAACATCATGAGGATGGTATGTTATGCTTGACTTTTCCACGAGCCAAGAATTTTCACGGGATTAGTTGTTCTAATTTTTAGAGTAGATGTCACATCTGTATACATCTCATCCTTTTTAGACCCCACCTTTAAATGGGATATACTAAATTGGTTTGTATTGGCAAAGCATGTGCACACAGCCACACACCAATGATATTGTGGTTTGATCTGATGTAAGGATTTGAGCATCTGTTCTCTTTCAACGATGGTGGGAAATCCAGGAAAGAGGGTGGGGGAGATCACGGCGGCAATGACGTTGGTGGTGGTGTCTTGGGTCATCGGAGGACAAAGGCGGAGCCAGAGATTTTTGGGTCAGTGGCATAATTTGATTATAGAAACAAATCTGTTGAATATCATACGATATTAACATGGAATGGTTGGTTGATTCCTTGTCCTTGCACATAAAGGACGCATGTTTGAGTCCAGACTAAATACGGTGACACCCTTCAGAAACGTAATTTTCCCACTTACGATATAAACATGAAGCTGAGTTCCATACCACCGTATGGGCCTATGTAGGTCCGCCCTTTTGCAGAGTTGTAGGGTGGGGTTGTATCATTGTTAAGGGCTAAGGTCGCCAGAGATAGCACCAGATATTACGAGATACAGTGACGGTGTCATGTCTTGCTGTGTATATGTTTATTCATATCATGTATATTATATTAATATACAAAAAATATGTTTCACTGATTATCTAATCATGGCAAAAAGTCTCGTATTTCTTCGGTGGATTGATATTGCAGACCAGGTGGTTAACCCTCGTCTTATTTCGAGGTGGTTTGTGCCTCCGCTAGGGTTTTTTTCGTTGTCTTCTGTTTTATTGATTTCTCCCTTTTAATTCGATATTTTCCTCTGCTTTTGTTTTTATTCTTTGCAGAAAAGTTCGTTGTGTGGTGGTCTCTTGTATCTCCTTGTTCTTAATAAATTTGAAGTCTTTTCTTGAATTTTGAAATATATAAATAAAAATACTTATAAGAATTCTTGAAATTATTATTTTTTATTCATTTTACCATTTAGAATTCTTGAAATCACGACTATTTTTGACAAACTAACTGATAAGTTAGCTGATAGACTAGTTGATGAACAAATTATATTTAGCAAAACTAGCTGATAAGAATGTAAAATGACTAAAAAAGTATCTTGAAAAATTAATCAATTATAATATTTCAAAATACAATTAAAACAAATATCTAATTTTGACATGAATAAAATAAAAATGGTCTACCTCACATATCCTAATTAATTAATATTTTAAAAATATTTAAATATTTATTTAGATTATTTAACACATTTTTATCATCTATG